TTAAGTTGTCTTTACCCATTCAGTCTTTGTGATATGTTTTGCTTGTAAAGAGGTCATATTTTCTTTTAATATTATTGCTTTTTGTTTCTCTTCTTTATTTGTTCTTCGGTGTGTTTGTGTTGTTTTCTCTTTTGTTTCTTTAGAAAGACTGACCACCTTGGATTGAAATTTTTCTGTTCTGACAATTATTTCTGCTGTGCAGGCCACAAATTGTGCTTTCATGATTTTTATTTCTCTCTTGGACCATTCGGGAACATCTTGCTGTTGTTTCATGTTCTCTTAGAAATCCACAAAGTTTTCTCCCTCATCAAGAGTTGATTCATTTTCCTTTGTCTTGCAGTATTTATTCAGAGATGTTTGGACTTGTTTAGGTGTCCTGGATATCATCTTCCTTTAGGTTATTAATGTCTTTCCTCTTGGCTTATCTGCTTGCGCTCAAGGTTTTTGGCCGAGTTTTCTTCTTCCTGGAAACTTTGGTAATTTCAGTCTTTTTTCCTTCTAATTTCCCTATTACATTCTGACTCTTTCCTTTTGGTGGCAGATCCCCGATGGCTGGACTTTAGAGCTGTCTCAGCTTCTTCTCTTGCAGGGGAGTTCAGTTTTTGACCAGCCTCAGTCCCTGCTCCAAGTGACCTCTGGGGGAATAGAACTGGCCTTTAATAGATGCCAGTCACCTTTCCTTCAGGCTTACTTTCCCTATTCTCCATGCCCCCCCTATACATATGCTGATGCTGTACCCCAGATTCCTGTCTTTAGTTCTCTGACTGAGTACTGCTGCTGTAGGCAAAAGGAAGCTTCCACTTTCCTCTACCTCCACCTCCTGGTACTGGGAGGGGGAAGGAGATAAGAGGGAATTTGAACATCAAAGTTGAATTCTGTTGCCTATTACCACAGAATGATGGGGTGAGGGCAGAGACTGAGAATTGCTGCAAGGGAATTGCTGAGTGAGAAGCTAGGTGTACAGTAGATAGAATGCCCCCCTAGAGTCAGGAAAACTCATTTTCCCAAGTTCAAATCCGGCCTCAGACACTTACTAGCTGTGTGAACCTGGGCAAATCACTTAACCCTGTTTGCCTCAGTTCATCATCTGTAAAATGAGCTGGAGAAGGAAATGGCAAGCCACTGTAGTATCTTTGCCAAGAAAACCCCAAAGTGGGTCATTAAGAGTTGGACACAACCCAAATGACTGAACAACAACAATTGTTGAGTGTATCCCAGACCACAAGCCTGTGGGTCATCTTATGCAGCCGTACTATAACTATGGGTTGGTGAGGGAGAAGGCCCGAGGGAGTATGTTAGGGGTAGGGATTATTAGCCTTCATTGCTGCTAATTCATTATGTTCAGGGTTCTTGATGTCTTATGTTGTGAAGTCAGCTGCAATTGCTTTACGTCTTGCACGTAATTAATATTTTGGAGAGTTTTAAGAGGTTGTAAGGAACAGAGAAAAAAGTCTACTTTTCTGTCTTGTTGTTTGATGACCTGTTCCATAATTCTAATGGATCTCCTTTTTCCCACATTGAGACATAGCCTTAGCTACCCACAGCCAGTTCAACCCGGCCAGAAGGATTATCAAAGAATCTGACCTGCTGTTTATTCAATGCATTATTTACTTTAAAAAGGAAAGATTAGATAGAAGGCCTCAGATTCAGGAAGACCTGGCTTTAAGAGCCTCCTCCTCCACCTGCAGGAACAGGCTCTGAGACCCTGGGCATGTCTCCGTGTCCTGGGCAACTCCCTTCAGACTAATTGCAGAGCAGGAGCCAGTTTTTTGAAACCAGTGAAACCCCAGTTCTGGCCAAAAAGAAAAAGGAGAGAGTATTTGGCAGCTGCCCTATTGTGGGCCCCAGTGGCCTGGCTCTATGGACTGTCTGACTTAAAGAGCAGCCTGTTTTATTTAGGGCTGTGATTCGACTTGCCCATCCCACTCACATAACAGTGGGACAGGAGTGTACCTGTGAGAAATGTGTAAAGAAAAGGCATTCCGTGAAATTGGGGAGGGGTTCTGTCCCTCCAAGCAGGGATAAATAGGGTGTTACGTTATTGAAGCACAGCAGTGCAAGGTTCAGGAAGACAACCAAAGTAGTAATTATCATTTAAAGGATTGCTCTAATTGGGTGTTTGTGGAATCCTAAGGCTTTCTTGGAAATCCAAATAGTCGTTGGATCTTTCGAGTGGGGTTGCTGGAACCAAGGATCAGATGCCTTTTTCTTTCCATGCGCACTGGAGGCCTTGCCCAAAGAATAGATATGCTTAGGCCATCATTTCTCTTGGGTAGGCTGTGTGTTGCAATGCGTGTGTCAGGCCTACAGAATTCTGTCATAACTAGTATGTTATTATATAGATTTGGATCAAATGAGAAAGCAGGTGTGAAAATGCTTTACAAAGCAGAACAGAGTCTGCCAGTATGGGCTATGGGTCAAATATGTCTTCCAGAACAAAATCACTCTTTGGAGTAAACTCCTGATGTGATGTTTAGATGTTAGGCTGCAATATGTGTATATTGAATGACATGGCATGGTGTTTCGTAAATGAATGGTTTTCTTTAACAGTTATAGATTATGTGTAGGCTATCTTGTCGGAGAGCTTGTCCTATGGCATGAGCATTATAAAGGGGATATGGTAAGTATTACTAGGGGTTAGAGGCTAGAGGTACTAGATTTGGTGGGGTTGGGGGTAGTCCTTCTTATCTTGTCAATTAAAATGCCATTCTTCTCTTCCTTCCTGTGTAGAAAAGTTTCCATTGCACTATTTAAAAGCAGTGGTTATGCAAGCTGTCTATAAACTGTAGTATTTCTGAAGCATTTTTTCTTAAAATGAATCAGGAAAAGGGGAAATTTTATTTCATATCATCTGTCAAATCAGAATCATAGAATCATATATTCAGAGATGGATTGGACCTTAGAAATCATCTAACAGCTAGGCGGTACAGTGGACCTAGAGTCAAAAAGTTCTGAGTTCAAAACTGGCATCTCTTTCTCTCTCCCTCTCTTTCTCTCTCTCTCTTTCTCTCTCTCTGTCTCTCTCTGTCTCTCTCTCTCTCACACACACACACACACACACACACACACACACACACACACACTTTCTTTGCTTAACTTCTACCAGCAAGTTAGCATAAATTGCCATTTAAAACAATTTTTGGTGTATAAAACTAGCATCCAGTTCCAAAATGTTTAATTTAGGAAATATTTGGAGTAATTGAAAAAAACTTTTTATTTTTTCTGGTGGAAATACTCTACGTATAGAATCATAGCGTCATCAAATTTTTGGGAGGGAAGGAATCAGAGAACCCAGGGATCCATAGATTGCAAGTTGGAAGGATTCAGTGGTTTAGTTCAGTGGTTCTCGAGGTGAGTTTTGGTTAAAAGTATAGGGATTTGTATGGAACTTACCATAATAGATAATGTGGGGGCAGTTAGGCGGTACAGTGGATAGAGCACCAGCCCTGGAGTCAGGAGGACCTGAGTTCAAGGCCGGCCTCAGAAGCATAAAGCTGGATAGCTGTGTGACTCTGGGCAAATCACTTAACCTCAATTGCCTCACCAAAAACCAAAACCAAACCAAAACAAAAAACCATAATAGATAATGTGAGCTATTTTGCATGAGAGGAAATTGAGGCCTTGCATACATCTCATATTTGTATCATGTTTTAATAATATCATCATTTAATAGTGTAAGTGAAATGTGAAGCATTTTATCATAAAAACTCTGAGGTAGGTAGCATAATTTTTATAATTATTATTTCACTAGTGTAGTGAGTGCTTGGTGAGAAACTTTATCTACAGCAGATCAGCAGCTTCTCTGCACCATCTAAGTATCAGAAAGTTGCCAGGTTCACAACAGGTCAAAGGATCTTCCCAGGGTCATACAGTTAAGATGTACTAAGGCAGGTCATCCACGTCTTCCTGACTCTAAGACTCCTCTCTACTGGGGCATGTTGCCTCTTTCTGCATAATTAAAAAGAAAAACCCACACAACTTTTTATTGATACCTTTTAGTTTTACGTCACCTACATTTCCCAATGTATCTCTTCCTCCTCCCCTTCCAGGTAACAGTCTTTTACAACAAAGAAGGAAAAATAAACAATGGTTCAGCAAAACTAAGTAACACTTTTGAAAGTCTGATGATATGTATTACCATATATACCTATAGTTCCCTACTCATAATACATGCCATTTCCTCCGTAGAAACTTTAAAATGACTTGGAGCATAGCTTTTTTATTTGCAAATACAGTAACCTTCAAAACTATATCTAATGAAATGAAAAGTAATCAAGACACTCTGGTTATAATAAACACTTTGAAAACCCCAGGATGGTTTAACAGCCATACTTAAATACTTTAAGGATCTATGATTCCATTATTGGGGGATATGCCCTCCATCAAGGTAAGTGATAACCTTTCCATGTTTTATTCGGGATTGTAGCCGAGAAAATTTCATCACCCTGTGGCCAGAATTCAGATGTAATAACTCCAAAGTTAACTACACTGAACCCCAGACAACAGAAAGAAGTTGATTGATGTTTGCCTTTCCAGCTTGATTGGACCTGCCAGACCTTGGCATAGCCTTTGAGAACTGACATCCCATAGAGGTCTCAGAGTTGGATTTAGTGGAAGCTAACCCAGAAACTCAAAATACATTGAATAAACTTGTAAGCAAAACTTGGATTTTCGGTATTAAAATACCCAACTTTCTTCAAGGGACATCTTGAAGTGTATATTACACTACAGGGTAATTTATATTTTTGATGCTCAGATATTCTGAGGCCTTCCCTAAAACTTGTGTTAAAGTGATGTAATTGTTATAAGGTATTTGTCTTTTGTGGGATTTTTAAATTTAAATTTTTTGCATTTTTTTATCCTATAGTAGTTGGGAATCCTGGCTAATGCTGTTATTTTAGTAAATGGATCTGCAGTTTGACCTTGTAACTATAGCTTTCGCAGATTCATAATGCTTTGTTGAAATTGTGAGGTAATACTGTTCTTTTCTACCCTAACAGTATTTTCAACCACATTAATTTTGATCAGGAAGACAACTTCACAAGGGCAGAGAAAGAACAAGATCAGGAATGGATGGACAGTAGGCCCTCAGGCTTTAAAAACATTCAGGTATGTACTTGGTTTTCAGAATGAAATGCTCATTCAGTATTAAATAGCTTATTTGGAATCTATCTTTAAAAATGCACTAGAATGTTCCTACTTTAATGAGTTTTTTTTTAATAGCACAAATGTTCATCACATCAATTTCTTTTTTTATAATTTAGTATTAGTTTTCAACATTCACTTCCATAATATTTTAAGTTTTAGATTTTCTCCCCCTCTTCAAGATGGCATAACACACCAGTTTCTTAAAAGCTTGTGTTTATGATGGTTTGAGACCGTTAAGGGAAAGGGTTCTTAACCTTTTTTGTGTCATGGACCCCGTTGGCTGTCTGGTGAAATCTGTGAAGGATTCCTTCTTAGAGTCATGTTTTTCAATGCACTGTGGTTGTTAGCATAGTAAAACACAGGCTATGGGGTCATGGTACCTGGACTCTAGAGCATGGCTCTGCCAGCTACTAGTTGTGTCACTTTAAAGCCATTTCACTTGACTAGGCCTTCGTTTCCTCCTGTATAAAATTAGTAGATTGAACTTGATTATTTCTATGGTGCTTTTGGTGTTAACATCCTGTAACCCTGTGATTCGGAGATTGACATAGGTGTTCATTCTAAGTAGAGAGAACAGTATAAGCAAAGTTGTCAAGGCTGAAATGTTGTTGTCCAATTGTTTGCAGTTGTGTCTGACTCTTTGTGACCTCATTTGGGGTTTTCTTGCCAAAGATACTGGAATGGTTTGCCATTTCCTTCTCTAGCTCATTTTACAGATGAAGAAACTGAGGCAGCATTAAGTGACTTGCTCAGGGTCACACAGTAAGTGTCTAAGGCCAGATTTGAATTCAGGAAGATTAGTCTTCCTGACTCCAGACCTGGTGCTTTATCCACTGCACCACCTAGCTGCCCTTAAGGTTGAAAAACTCAAAGCATATTCAGAGACTAACAGTTAATTGAGAGTAGTGTGCTTGTTGGGGAGAAGTGGGAAGTAAAGCTGGAGTGGCTGGTTGGACCAGTTCTTGCAAGTTCTAGAATATCAGGTTAACAAATTTGTATTTCCTTTGGTGAGCAGTGGGAAGCCTTGAGACGGGGAGTGATAGGATCAAAGGTGTGAAGTAAGAAGATTCACTTGGAATTTATGTTCCAACATCTCTTGCAGAAGATGAGAAGTTTAGAGAAATTCTATGACGAACTTGATCAGAACCTCTGAATTAAATCAATTTACACTTTAAGACTTGATAACTTCTGTGCCTAGGAGAGGATGATGAAAAATATTTTGGAAAATATATATCAGGAGTATGATACAGCAGAAGACAAAAGTCTTATATTACCATATAGAAGTCTTATGCTTATATATCTTGAAAAAGTTTTTCTAGACTAGAGGTGGGAGGCTGTGGACATGGTAAGCATCAAGTAACATCACAAAATGAAATTGATTATATGCTAACATTCCTAAATCTGTTGTCTGTCTACAATCAGACCATTGACTTGTTTGAGCAAAGATCAAAATCAATAGTATAAAATGAGAAAAAGAAATGGCATGAAATTGAGAAATCTCCAACTTAATTTTTAAGACAGTTGTTGATGCTGAAAAATGAGAAATTGAAAGAATAACAGGCTATCACCATGTCCTAAGGAAGTTTAATGACTCTTGGGGCAGCTAGGTGGCGCAGTGGATAGAATGTTGGGCCTGGAATCAGGAAGATCTGAGCTCAAATTTAGCCTTAAACACTTACTAGCTGTATGATTCTGGGCAGGTCACTTATCCTATGTTTGCCTCAGTTTCCTCATCTGTAAAGTGAGGATAATAACAGCACCTACCTCCCAGAGTTGCTGTGAGGATCAAATGAAATCATGATTGTAAAGCACGTAGTACAGTGCCAGGCACGTAGTAGGTGCTATATAAATGTTAGCTGTTAGTATTCATCTAAATCAGTGTTATCACTAAGAGAGCAAAAGTGCCAAAAAACTGCCTTTGTCAGCATATGTTTGATCTCTTTGCCAAGTGAAGACATATGGCAACCAATGTAAACACCACTTTAGAATTTAAACATGTTTGCAAAATCTTACCAAGGAAGATGTTGAAAGGTGATGAATGCTATCATCTCACAAAAGAGCAAGAAGCAAAGCAGGGAAGGAAAAAAGCAAGTTTTCAAAAATCATGGAGAGAAAACAAATTAAGCCAGGCAGTCCCTAAAATTATCAAGAATGAAACTGCAAGGAAAACGACCAAAAAATGAAAAATGGAAAATATCTGTCACAATTTCTATAACAAAGTATTTCCCTATCAATGACATTGAAGCTGCCATGTTTATTGTGCCACATGAAGAAGTATGAGTACATCTGAAAAGTGCAAAGACAGGAAGAGCAGCTGGACAAGACCACGTACCTGTAGAGGAGATCTAGCCCAATCAAAGTAACAGGAACTGTTAGAACTCAGGGTAAACTTGAGTACCAACACATTTCACAGATATGGATATAGAATGGGAATTAAATCTAGACAAAGATTTACTTGTTAGCAGGGGAATATTTTCAGCATAAGTTTTATGTTTCCATTGAACCCTCCTTCCAGTGTTACCTGTGGTGTGGAGGTGACCCTGGATTCTCAAAATCTCTGACAGAGGAGCAGAAATTCTGGCCTACCAACTTGAAAAGCCTTCTTGTATGGACCTAGTGATGGACCATTTTTATCTGTTATTTGAAAGTCGATCCCACTAGAGACAGAATTCATCCCCAGAATGGTGGCCAAGGGATTATCTTTATTTTTTTTATGTTTGTTTATTTTTTTGGGTACACTAGCTCATGAAGACTGTAAAATTGTAAATTGATTTTAATTCTCTTTTTAAGACTGGCATAAGTTTAATACTTTCTCACTCTGTGTGAGTCTAAATTCCTTACCCTTGTAACTTCACCCTTTACCTACATGTTGGAGAAACTTGCCTGAAGGTCTAACTTTTGTTTTGTAATTGTTGCTGTTCAGTCATGTCTGCCTTTTCGTGACCTGTGGACACCACATCAATACTTTCCGTTTAGCTCAGTAATAGCAGTCATGACACTTCACATGCAATTGTATCTTAAATTCTAAGTTTTCTTTTTTCAGCTGAAGAAACCAAGTACTGTCAAATAATGTCTCAAAGGTCACACATAATTAGCAGAGATACTGCCATAATGTATGTTTCTTTAAATTAGTGGGGTTTTGTTCTTATGTATTGTATTGTAAATGGAGTACTAATTGTGGTGGGATTTATCATATTGAGTTTTCTGGCTTTGGTATTTAAAGTTTGGGCTATAATCAAGTTAATTGGATCCAACTTAGTATACCAGGAAACCAACATTGGTAAGTTGGCATAACCTTGCCTTTTAGAGAGAAATAAGTAGTATTTCATTTAATTAATCTATAAATATGGGACCAGACACTTAATTGTATAATCTCAGAATTCCATTTAAAATTTCTTGTGGTCTGCTGCTATATTTGTTCCTTATTATGTAAATTGTGAGTATTTTCCAATAGAACCCATTCTGATATTGCCCACAAGATGAGGAGTAGGCATTTTGGAGATAAGACAGGATGCTGTTTCAGGTCACACTATCCATTACAGCCATTGCTGCTTATTCATCCTTTTCATTCATTACATCTTTATTTTCTAACTTGTAAAATCTATGTCTTAATAAAACCGAGAACTCATTTAGACTTTGCAGTTGTAAGGAACATAACAATAATGACAATGATAGTTCATCAAAGTGAGAAATTTATTTTCCTTGTCCATAGAAAGAAAATTCTGAAATGAAAAGTCTTTGTTCCAGTTTTTTGGTAAGACTGAAAAACTTCCTTTATCTCAAATGCTGTCTTTTAAAAAATTTTTCTTTTAAAATATTTTACTGATATACTTTTTCTTTAAAACAAAACAAAACAACACACTGTCACTTTATGACTCCAACCCACCCACCCCACCATAATCCTCTTTTGTAACAAATAAATGCAGTCAAGCAAAACAAATCAGCACATTCCCTGGATTTGAAAATAGGTCTATTTGCACCTGTAGTCTACCATGTCTCCTCTCGGAGACAAGAAGCACACTCCCTGGAGTTAAGATTGGAAGTGCTAACTTTCTTAGAGTATATAATGAGAATTTATTGGAGGAACAAAGAGTGGTTTCAGAATAGTTGTAATCCCTAAATTTCAATCTTGAAGAGCTATGAATTCCCATGCTCAAATATGAGATTTTTCTCCTAGCTCCTTCCTCTTCTCTCCACTTTAGAGCTGAGTTTGACTGCTCTGCTATTTTAGTTAAGAATGGCATGGTTTTGGTCTGACAGGTTCCATGAACCATGAAGAGTGCTGATTTTTACTATACATTTTTCCTCCAGGGATTGCACAGAAACAAGGCCACATGGAAGCCAAGCGTTCGCATTCTCGTTCTTCTGGAGCACGTGCCCAGGTTAGAGCAGAACATTCTGCTTCCTTGAGACATATTTGCTATGTTGTTTGATTTCTTTCAGTGAAGCTCAGTGTTCTTACCATTTTCATGTGATAGTTACAAATTAACATAAATGGATCCATACATTCTTCCTTTACAACTCTGTTATAACATGGCTTCATTATTACTGTCTGACTGTGTTACAGGTCAAATCATATCTCCTGAAACATAACAAGTAAAAATGGAAAAAGTCTGATAGAACATACCTAGCCATCCCACTTGGATTTTTACCAATTTTTTCCACCATGAGCCATGTTTGAGAAGGTGTACTACTGCATAATTTCATTTAATTTTGCCATTTTGATGTTATCAGGAACTAACTTGATACTGAATTCTACAGTCTTCCATTGATTATCATTATTTTTCTCTCACTTGTTATATCATTCTTTAGCTTGCTTTTGTAATAAAAATCCTTAAAACTTTTGTCGCATCATTTCCACATTATTCAAATACTCATATAGTTCTGTGCTGCCAGTGATGTGTGTATTTCCTCTAATGCTGCATATTCCAATACATCGTCCGTTCATTCATGCATTCGTGCATTCCCATTTGACATATATTTATTGAGTGACTGCTGTGTCAGATGAAGTCAGCAAGCATTTAATAAGGGCTTACTTTGTGCCACGCATTGTGCTACGTCTTGGGGACACTGACAAAACTGAAACAGTCCTTGTCCTTAAGAAGCTTAGCTTCTATCAGGAGCGTAGGGAACAGTATGAGCAAAGAGAAGTATATACAAAATATTCAGATTTTTTTTTGTCCGGACTTGTGATTTTGTTTTCATTTCCGCACCTGACCTGTAACTTAAGAGTCTTACAGAGTTGCCTGAGGCAACTTAGACTTGCCAAGGGTCACTGAAACTGAGGGGTGTCAGGTGGGACTTAAGCCCAGGTCTGCCTGGGTACGAGGCAGACTGGTTCTCTGAACAGTACGTATAGCACTCTAAAAATACAAATACAAAATAATGGATGCAAATTGGATACACAGTAATTTCTGGTGGTTTGGAGAAGAGGGTTCTAACAAAGGGAGAGTTTGGGGTAGACCTCACCTAGGATGTGGCACTTCAGCCAGGGGACAAAATGAGGCAACCTATACGAAGGCATAGGAGATGGAATGACACGGACAGAGAACAGGAAGGAGGCCAGTTTGTCTGGATAGACTATAGAGTTCATGTAGGTGACTAATATTTAATAAACTTGGAAAAGAAGGCTGGAGTCGGATTGTGAGGGGATTTAAATGCCAAACAAAGGAATATGTATTTCATTCCACAGGTGTTTGGGAGCCACGTCAGTTTCTTGAGTGAGGGCAGTTTTATAGTCAGAGCTGTGCTTTATGAATATCACATTTGTAGTTATGTGGAGAAAAGGAGAGAAATGAGATAAAGATATCAATTAGGGCTAGCCTCAGTATCAGTAAGGCATGGGTTCAAGTTCCATTTTATCTTTGTGACTATGGGCAAGTCACTTCAATTTTAGTGCCGTAGGCAAAGCTGGGGAACGCTTACCTATGTGAATTGGTAGAGTCAGTCTCCTCTCCAGAACCTTTTCACTGGATTTACAGAGGTTTAGATAATATAAAACTGAGGATAAAAAACAAAAAGTATTTTTCTCTGTGATTTTTTTTTTTCTCTTTAGGCAATTGGGGTTAAGTGACTTGCCCAGGGTCACCTAACTAGTAAGTGTCAAGTGTTTGGTCTGAGGCCGAATTTGAACTCAGGTCCTCCTGACTTTAGGGCCAGTGCTCTATCCACTGCACCGCCTAGCTGTCCCCTCTATTATTTTCAAATAGAGCAATTATATTTAATAAAATAATTTAATAAAAATTAACTTAAATTTAATAAGAATTACCTTGATTAAGCAATCAATATACATTTATTAACCACCTACTATGTGCCGAGCACTGTGCTAAGCACTGGGGATACAAAAGGAGGCAGAAGATAGTCCCTGTCCCCAGGGAGTTCACAATCTAATGGATTGTGGTTTGCTCAGGCTGTTATTAAAATTATTGACATTCACATTTGCTGAGCGTGTGCCAGCTGAGGATACTGGAGGTAGCCCAGATGTGCCAGGAGTGCTAAGCTGAAGTCAGCCTTAGCAGTGGGGCCTTAGGGCAGTTGGCCATGGTAATCTACACAGTGAAAATTGAGAGCTACCTCTACCTACTACTACGATGAACTGTTTTTACATAGGCATGGCAATATTTATTTCTATGCTTAAAAGGTATTAAACTGGATGCTCTCTGACGTAGGCCATATTTCTTGGAGCTTTTTAGAAGAGCTTTCTTCTGGGGCAGCTAGGTGACACAGTAGATAGAGCACTGGCCCTGAAGTCAGGAGGACCTGAGTTCAAATCCAGCCTCAGACCAAACACTTGACACTAGCTGTGTGACCCTGGGCGAGTCACTTAACCCCAATTGCCTTTAAAAATAAAAAGAGCTTTCTCCTGTGCCTTATTCTTTTTCGGTCACACAGTTGGACAGATTGGTATGTTTGGGCTCTCCTTGTTGAGGCAGGACAGATTGGTATGTTTGGGCTGTAATCCTTCTCCTTCAGAGATCCTGTATTCTATTCAAGAAGCTCTGCAGTGATTAGTGGACAAATAAATATGTCATTTTACATGTTGGTTCCTGACTGCTGACAGTAGTAAGAATGTGTTTTCCTCTGTGAACCAAGCAGATGAAATTCCTTGAGACTAACTGGCTAGAAGATCACATGTTCCTTGCTTAGCAGAAGCTCAATCCAAAGAATTCCAAACTTAAATGATCTCTGAATTTAGTGGCATTCTTAGGAAGCAATAGTACTGCACAGGCTTAGGCTATTTGGAGGGCCAGTACCCCCATGTTGCCCCACTGGGCCTCTCGTGGCCAAACCTGAGCAACCAGCTAATGTCCAACAAACATCACCATGTTGCCAGATTCAAGAAATACTCCTTTGATGCATGAATGTCCCTTAGCTGACACACCAACTATCCATCATATAAGCAACCCATTAGGTTGAGAGCAGAGTGGTTTATAGAGGTGTCAGGGTAGATAACTAATTAGAGGGTTTGCAAATATGCTTTTGATCAGGGAACCTTTAGGAGAAACATTATTGGGGGGGCGGGAGGATGCTGTGAATTGATTTTCTAGACAACTGAATAACCCTTTAAACACTCCTTTTTAGGGGGTGGGGTTGGAAAGAATAATCAGCTTGAAAACAGAAGGCCCAAAATGTGTCAGCTATTCACTGTAACTTTGGGGAAGTCATTGGATTTCTCAGAACTTTGTATTTTTCATCTCTAAAATGGAATTATAAAACCAGCCTGTGTCCATACATGTGCATGTGTGTGCGCGCGCACACACACACACACGCACACAGAATTCCAAAAGTCTTGGTGTAGTTTTAAGCTACTGAAGCTTAAAATAAGCTTATATGGTGTGTGTGTCTTTGTAGCTATAAAACATTCATAAATTTTAGTTAATAATAATAATATGTTATGGATTTCTGTCTTCTTAAACAAAACATACAAAATATAATTTAACCTTTTCTTGATGATTTGTTATGAATGTCTGTTATTGTGCTGTGCTGTAATATAATGATAACTTTAAGAGTCACTGATATGTTTAGGTATTTTAGCTCCCACCCTAAATGTCTTAAGAGTGCTGGGATTTTCCTTCCTGCTTTTTATAGTTCCTTTATCTTCTCCCTTTGCTGCCAATTGTTGCTTCTAATTTACTCCCTATTTTTGTAAACTGTTGTTTGGCTGTTGGCCAGTGGATACTTTGGCCGTCACATATAATTCATGGTCTTTGTGATGGCTATTTGACTCTCAAAGATTTTTTTGTTTTTTGTTTGTTTAGTTTTCATTTCCTTCTGAGTTCAAGGTTGTATGCTTCAAGGTAGAGTTTCTAAGAAGTCTGATAATGGCAGATGAATGGGTATGTTACTATAGCTATAGCACCAATAATGGCTACTTGTGTGAGCGTGCAATGCCATGCATATAGTAGGCATTTAATAAATAAATGTTATTTAAATGGGATCATTTTCAATGTAATCCTCCTCCTAACAGGCACATTCCAGAAACAAATTGGTAATATTCATATTCAAGCTCTGGGTATTTTTACTTGTATCTAATGCCTGAAATTTTCTCCCTCCTAATTTCCCGCCTTCTGACTTTGTTGGCTTCCTTGAAATCTTAGCTAAAATTCTGCCTTCTGTAAGAAGCCTTTTTACATCCTTCTTAATGCTTGTATCTTCCATGGAAGCAGCTTTTCCCTTTTTTTTTGATCTCTGGTTCCGTTACTTAATAAATGTGCAACCCATATGAGGTCTTGCTTGCTTTCCCGACACCTCACAAGAACTGCTGCCTTCCGCCTTTCCTCTAAAATTACCTTGGTATTTATTTTGTACATATTTTATAACTACTTAACATGTGTACGTGTTATTTCCCGCAATAAAATGTAAGCTTCTTGGGGGCAGGGCTTGGACTTAGCAAGTCCTGAATTCAAATTTGACCTCATACATTTATTAGCTGTGTGACCCTGGGCAAGTCATTTAACCTCTGCTTGCTTCAGTTTCCTCAGCTGTAAAGTTGGGATAATAATAGTACCTACCTCCCGGAGTTGTTGTAAAGATCAAATGAGATGATATTTGTAAAGCACTTAGAATATGATACCTGGCATCTTGTGTATATCAGGTTTTTTTTGCTTATTGTTTCCCCCATTAGATTGTGAACTTCTTGAGGGCAGGGACTGTTTTTGCCTTTTTTTGTATTCTCAGCACGTAGTAGGTGCTTAATAAATGCTCACTGACTTGACTCCCTTTGGATGCTGATGCTTGTAACCTGATTACACCAGATCTCAGTGTCCCTTTCTGTTCATCCATTAACCAGAAGAAAACAAAAGCTCTGAGCTTTCTAATAGAAGGTCACACAAAACTTGTTGCTAGGTTGGAGCTTTGAATGACTTTCCTGGAATTGTCTTCAGGCCCGCCTTTTTCCCAGCTCTTATTTTGGTTATGACCTTTCCCCTTCTCTTTGGTTTTACTATAAGGCACCAGCTCATATGCAGGCAGTAGCCAGGACAGCGGAATTCTTCTGCTTTGTTTGTATTCAGAGCCAGCCTGGTGAGCAGAGCTATGTTTAAAGCCTTTTCAACATTTAAACTCATGGCTAAATATTTTGCTCCTTAATACCCGGCCTCAAATGATCTACATATGTCTCTACAAAAGTTAGGAGACTTACAAGTTTAATTCTATCTAAAAGACTTGAAGCTTTGTTACTTTACAGGCAGTTGGAGTAGTTTTGTTTTTAGGGATCATTCCTTCTATGTGAGAAATTAAAATCACCCCGGTTCATTAAAATCATTAAAAAGGTTGTTCCTCCTTAAAAGCAGTATTATCTTCACTGCTACAGGAGCCACTGTGAAGTCACTTAAACAGTGTTATAAAGTTGAAAGGGCAGAGAAAACCAGCTTCCCCATAAATACTCTTCATATTTTCTTGCTTTTTCCTCTCAGGTAGCAGAGGATGGGTTTTTATCTGCACTGAAGATGCTAGATGTGGGAAAGTGGCCCATTTTTGCCCTTTGCTCACCAGATGAACTGAAGTTAATTCGTCAGGCCTGTGTCTTTGGCAGTGCTGGCAATGAAGTTTTGTATTCTACAGAAAACGATGAGGTAATCTGCAGAACAAACCCGCCGCTATCCATGTTTTCAGTCATTAGTCTTTATATTGTAATTAATTGACTGATGTATCTTTTTTCGGTGATCTCCAGACCCTTGAGAGATAAGGAATTAAGGTAAAATGAGCAAGGGTGAGTGGGAGGGCAGGGGAAGATTATGGGTAGAGTGCTGGGCCTGGAGTCAGGAAGACTTATCTTTCTGAGTTCAAATCTGGCCTCTGATACCTAGTAGCCATATGATCCTGGACAAGTCATTTAACCCTGTTTGCCTCAGTTTCCTCACCTGTAAAATGAGCTGGAGAAGAAAATGGCAAGCCACTTCAATGTCTTTGCCCAAACCAGGGTCATGAAGAGTTGGACACAACTGAAAAAATGGCTAAACAACAACAAATGTAATACAGTCTTTATCTTCCTTTGTGAGGTCTTGCTCATGCTTTGACATAGGATCGTTATAGCAGCTTAGATTTAGAAGTGGATTGGAATTTGGAAGTCATCTAGTCCAACCCCATTTTTCAGATGAGAAAACCAAGGCCCAGTGACTTGAACAAGGTTACACAGGCAGCAATTGACAGAGCGTAGAGTTGGACCCCTGATGCTCTGATTCTAGCTACATTTTGCTTCTCCGTGTTACTTAATTTATGCATCTTTCACCAAGTGACTCCATGAAGCTGAGAGTTTACTTTCCCACAGGTTTTTGTGCTTGGCACCAATTGCAGTGGCTGCTTGGGAACGGGTGATATCCTGCATTCCATTGAACCCCGTCGAGTTGATCACTTATGCGGCAAAAAAATAGCCTGCCTGAGCTATGGAAGTGGTCCTCATGTCGTCATTGCAACGGACGGTAATGTAGGAATACAAATACCACCCTTGAATCCTGGCTCCATTCCTTGTTCATTAACACAAGCTTAGATTCCGCCCCTCTGGTGAGTGAGCACCATGTCATTGTCGAGACCCTGTGATGTGCCCGCTATAATTCTGAATATATTGCTTGACCAGAAACTGTGCAGTAGGTGTTGAACAGAACATTTGCAGTCTCATGCAGATGTTGGCCCTGCCTCCATTGAGCTGTGGAGCTCCTGTGATGACAGAGGGGCTCATGTGAATGTAGTTGAGCTTTGAGAGTGCATTGGGGCAGTTTGGTTTGCAAAGATAATTTCTGTTTTGCTGAGTAGAGGCCTCTTAAAATACAGTTCATTCCTTTTTCAAATGGCATTAATTAACTCTGACTTTATTGGAGAAGCTCTAGAACTCTTTATACAATCTTACACAAATGGGCTGCTAGCCTCAGAGTCTTAGAAGGACTGACAAAATCTCTGTTTTATTTCCCTAAATTTGCGAAAGAACAGTCAGATTACGTAAGTCAGCCCTTTAAGAGGATTGCATCATATGTGGCAGGCATGACAAAATTGACCCAGATCAGATGTTTTAGAGTTTTAACCAGTTCTTTTTTTTCAAAATGTAGTTGCCATAAAAAATGCACTTATGACAACAAATATTATTACTAGTAATGTGGCATATTGTTTTTTAAAATAAGTTTTATAGATGCCTTTTCTTTTTAACAGCACAGTCATTTTTAGATATTTATGTCTCCCAAGCCACCTGCAATGAGGTGTTCCTTGTAACAAAGAAAAATAGTTAAGCAAAACCAACAAACAAAGTATGTCTAAGAGTTTATGCAATAGTCTGCACCCATAATCCCTCATTTCTCTCCTGAAAAGAGGGAAGTATTTCTTTATCTCTTCTCTGGGGGCAGGATGGGTCATTACAAGAACTTAGAAGGGATGCAAAGTAAAGCAATGAACATGATTAAAAATGAGAAAACCATATAGGAGAGAGATGAAGGAATATAGACTGTAAGCTCCTTCAGGGCAGGGATAGTTTAACTTTTGTCTTTGTTATCCCCAGCACTTAGCATGTTGCCTTGTATGTTTTAAATGCCTAATAAATGTTTGCTGAATTGAATTGAATTGAGTGTAAGAGTTATTTAAGCTAGAAGAATTGGGGCCAGTGGGAAAGCAATAGATATTAAATTTTGAATATGATTCTAAACGATTAGTTGTGTTTTCCGTTTCCATTAAGTATAACTCAAGAAAGACCAGGCTTAATTTGCGGTGGCGAGTGGGAGGGAAGGCAATTGAAATTACTCATATATACAGCGTCATGAATATAAGGGTTATTCAAAGTATTATCAAATTAGGCTCTGAAGTTTCATTCTCTGAATATTATTAAGAATAAAGTTGACAGTCATCTCATAGAACTGAAAAGGACCCCAACATTTTACAGCTAAGGTAATGGAGGCCCAGAGAGTGGGAGTTACTGAGCCAGGTCTAGAACTCACCAGGGTCAGTGCCATTACCTCCATGCTGCCTCTCCTTTGGTTGAAGCCCCGTCAAGAAGTGAGAAAGGGAGACAAAATAGTGTCAGTGTAAAAATTGGTCTTTAGAGTTAACAGGGCTTCTATTTAACTCCAAGAATATGGTTTACAGTAGGAAATAATCCTTTGCCTCTTCCCTGAGGAATATTTTTAAGTGAGTCATGTAGTCTAGTAAACACCTTGGTTTTTAAAAAAGAAAAGAACTTTTTAACATACCCTTAAACCATTTAATTTTCAAACTAAAGTCCAAACTCTGAACAATGTCAGAATTAGCCAGATAATCTTCGTATTATCCATGTAAGACCTGTCTTGGGAAAATAAATCAGCATTCTAAGTACTACGGCAATACCATTAAAAACCAGGAATTATTAGCACTCTAAGAATGTGAATAAAGCCTCCCTCTGCCTATCAAGCCCCCTTCTTTACATTCTTCACAAGATAGATTTCTATAAAGGGAGTGTGGTATACTGAAAATAGCACCAGACTCAGAAGACCAAGGTTCTAGTCTCACTTCCTGTCTGACACTAAACAGTTCATTTAATCTGTCTGGGCTTTGGTTTCCTGATCACAAAACGCGTGGACCACATTAATTACTCTCTGAGGCCCATCCCAGTTGTAAAAGGCTTTGAACAAAATAATCTCAGGAAAGCTGGTTTGATGTTACCTCATGCTTTCTGTCAGATGGTAGGGATTACTTCAACACTGAATAAATATGCAAAGAAATTGATCCTCAGTTTCCTTATGTACAACACGTGTTATCTTCTTCAGAGTGCTGTTATAAGGAAAATGATTTATAAACTATAAAGTATTAGTTCAATGTGATATTATTATTATTTTTTCTGATAATACTTGCCCAGTATTGACATTGGTATAGTTTGGAGTTTAGCATAACATATTGCTCCTTACTTAGAGGCAGTGTGGCACTAGAAGGCTGGCATTTGAGTCAAGAAGATCTGGATTCAGGTATTGCCTCTGACATATCCAAACTGTGAGATCATTTAACTTCTCAGTGCCCTAGGCAACTTTCTAAGACTATATAACATAGAAGTGTTGTATTGAGAGTTCCCCACTCTGATGAAATCATAGGTCTGAACCTCCTCCCTCCTTACAACAACGACAGAATAAAATCACTATTTATTAGAAATCAGTCCTCCAGTTTTTAGGGCTTCCTATCAGCTTTGTGCTTGGAAGAGTAATCTTGTTGTCCAGGCATGGAAACTAAAGTTTTGACTTTTCAAATACTTTCTTTGCAGGATGGGTTTGGTGGTTGAAGCTGGGAAAGTTGATTAATATTCCAATTCAGCTTCATTTATTAAATCATTATGATACATAGTTGCTTATAATGAAGATAATTCTCATAGAAATTCTTTATCTTGCTCTTTTTTATTTTCAGAAGGAGAAGTGTATACCTGGGGCCATAATGCTTATAACCAGTTGGGCAATGGGACAACTAATCATGGTTTAGTACCTACCCACATCTCTACCAATTTAGGAAACAGGAAAGTCATTGAAGTGGCCTGTGGATCTCACCATTCTTTGGTGCTGACATCTGATGGTGAGGTAAGAGTGCTCGACATAAATATATATTCTGTTCTCTCTCTGTAGGAAGAAGATTAGAGAGATTCTTATGACCATCCCCCCAAAAAATGGGTCAGATGGTTGGAGTAACTATTTGGGGATCTAAAAGTTGACACTTAAGTCTCCTAAACTTGCTTACACCCCCCTCCCCCATTGTGACTTGATCTTCTCCTCCTCCTTATTTATTTATTAATATTCCTCAGGCTTGAATTCTACCTTTATCAATAAGGTACCTATATACTATATATGATACTACCTATAACATTTTGAGACTTCTCTGACATTGTTTTTATATTGTGACAGTGAAGTACAAAAACCACCAGGGGTGAGTGTCTTTTACTGAAATATAAGAAAAAAGGTTTTGGCCAAATGTGGCATTCTCTTATATTTTACAAAAAATATTTTCTTAAGTGGAAAATATTTATCCAATGTTTTTAAAATAATCACACATATACACACAGACACACATGTGAGAAGCAGGCATTGTGGCACCGTGTGTATGTTAATTTAAAAACACTTGCCATCAGATATCAGCACCAAAGAATGGTGAGACCCCACAGGCCACTTCAATGGCTTTCTTGTTTGTGACCCTTGTCAGTCATTTATCCTGTCCTTGCCTCAGTTTCCTCATCTGTAAAAGATCTACCTCATGGAGTTGCTGTGATCCTAAGAGGACTATAAAAGTGTGTCATTACTGTTAATAGCAGGGGTTTCATTGTTCAATCGAGATGATTCTTGAGTTAATGTGGATTAAGAGATTCCTGCTTTCTTCTCTAACAGGTATTTGCCTGGGGTTACAATAACTCTGGACAGGTTGGGTCTGGCTCCACAGCCAACCAACCCATTCCTCGAAAAGTGACTGGCTGCTTACAGAACAAAATCGTTACAAACATAGCTTGTGGCCAGTTTTGCTCAATGGCCGTGGTGGAGAGCGGCGAGGTAAGTAGAAGGCTTCCACTAGGAATGTTGGACATTGTGGTAGTTTGAGACTTGTTTTTACAAGGCAAATTCTCATGTCCTGCATCAGTGCCTCCAGCAAACAATATGGTTCTTATCATCTGGGGCTGTGGTTGTTGTTTCCTATAGAAATTTGCATCTAAATCCTCCAGCCCTTCGTCACCTGGCCCTTTTGTCTTTTTACCCTTTACTCTCCCTCCCATGCTGAATACACTCTGTGCTCCAGTAACATTGGCCTCTGCGCTGTTCTTCACACAAGTCACTCTCATCCCTTGATTCTGGGCATTATCTCTGGCTCTCTCCCATGCCGGAATTCTCTACCTCCCCATCGCTGCCTCCTGGTTTCCTTGACTTCATTCAAGTCTCAGCTAAAATCCCACCTTGTACAAAAAGCCTTTTCTGGGCCCCTTTTAATGTTAATGCTAGTGCTTTCGCTCTGAGAATATCTCCAGTTTATTGTGTATATATTATGTTTGTACATAGTTGTTTGCCTGTTATCTCCTCCTTTAGATTGTTAGCTTCTTAAGGGCAGAGACCATTTTTGCTTGTATTTGTATCCCCAGTACTTAGTACAGTACCTTGCCTATAGTAGGCACTTAATAAATGCTTATTGACTTTTTTTGGTCTCTTTCAAGGTTTATGTCTGGGGATACAATGGAAATGGGCAGCTTGGACTGGGCAGCAGTGGCAATCAGCCAACGCCCTGTAGAATAGCGGCTTTACAAGGCATTCGGGTGCACAAGGTATGTTCACTGGCTCATATTCTTCAGTCTTCTGCACAATGAAGAAACAATATGTAGCCAGTACGGTTTTAATAGCATGATTGTGATTGAGTGTCAGAGGTCATCTCAATGAAAAATAAATATGCCCTTTCACCATTCCATCCCTCTCCTTTTTCCCCAAACACTGTCCTCTCCGTTAAGTCTAGCTATCCTTCAGCAAATGTATACTTTTGTATCCAGGGAGTTCAGTACCTTGTTCTCTGTATTTCTGTTCATCTCAACCCCTGCCCTCATGTTTAAGGACTTCATTCAGTATGGAGTCTGACTTGCCAGGCCAACAGCCACTTCAGCTCCAAAGATCTCTATCTTTGGGGCAGCTAGGTGAAGCAATGGATAGAGCACCAGCCTTGGAGTCAGGAGGACCCCGAGTTCAAATCCGACCTCAGACACATAACACTCACCAGCTGTGCGACTCTGGGCAAGTGACTCAACCCCAATTGCCTTACCAAAAAAAAAAAAAGATCTCTTTCTTCACCCCACCTTAACCACACACAGGAATTACCACAGTAACCTTCCTCTCAGCATCCCTGGGCTGTTGAGCTCTGAACGTCCTGTCTTTAATCATGACCTCCTCTCCATCCATTCTTCCTCTGCCCTGCTCCTCCAGTCCTATTCTTTGTCCTTATGGTGACCCTGAGGCCTTCTGGCACACCCTGCCCTCCCAGTTCATCACTGCTGATATTTCCTGCTTTCACAGTTTTATCGTGAGTAGTTCATCTCTCCCCTGTCCTCTACCTTGAATCTCTTTTCTCTCTTGTCCTGTTGCCACTCACATTTTGCCAGACTCCGACTTCAGATTTTCATTTACCTCTCCTCCTTTGCTGGGAAGATCATACAACTCTGAAGTCTAGGACAAATTTGTTTTCTGTTCTTAATTGGGTCCTTACTGCTGCACAACAGTCCTTTTATTCTTCCTGCGCTCTTTCCTTTTCCCCTCCCCCTACTGAATCCCCTTTCCCCTTCCTCCTTCCCCTTAGGAGCATTGAACAGCAGGAGCTGGAACAGAAGCTTTCTTCCAGTGAGCTTAATTCATTCAGTCAGGAACCACTGGCTGGAGCCTTCTTGCTAAATGACTGCTTCTGCTGTCTGTTTCTGTATGCACCTCTAACAAAGCTGTTTGTTTGAACCCCTGCTGAGTCTTCTTCTCTTGCCAGATTCTCTAGTCTCTTAGCTGTTCAGGACATTACCATCCTTCCAGTCACCGAAGTGTAAACATCGGAGTGATCCTTAATACGATATTTGTATCCTTGAGATAGCCTATGTAAAGTTCCATATTCCTATCCTCTTTCCCTCCCCTCCTCCCTCTATAGTGTAAAGAAATTGTTAGCACCATTCCTGCCACATAGTAGGCACTTAATGAATGCTTATTTTCTTTCCTTCCCCCCAACCCCCTCATTCTCCTTTCACCCACATACCTAATCAGCTGCCTAATCTGCACAATTCTACCTCAACATTTACCACATCCTCTTTCCACTCATGTGACTGCTCTTCTAGTTCAGGCCTTATCATCTCTTAACAGGATCAGCACAGTAGCCTTCTAACTGGTCTCTCTATTTGCTATTTCTTGTCTCCCTCATAGAGCTGTCCAGTGAGTATTTCTAATGCACAGCTTGGACCATCAGTCGTCTGCTCAAAAACTCCAGTGGCTTCCTATTACCTTTAGCCCAAAATACAAACTCACCAGCCTAACATTTGAAAACACTCTCTAGGTTGCCTTCCTTCTACTTTTCTAGACTGATTTTACATTTCTTCTTTACATAGTAATTTACACAGTGTTCCAGCCAGATTGGAATATCAGCTATCCCAGGGGTAACTCCGCTCTTCATCTTCCATCTCTGTGCCTTTGCACAGGCAGTTCCTTATACCTGGAATGTGTTTCCTTTATACCACTGCTTTTGAGAATCCCTAACTTCCTTTAAGCATCAGCTCAGGTACCACCTCCTCCATGAAGTCCTTCCTTAATCCCTACCCTGTACCTCTTGCCCCCCTAATTTGGTAATATTTTCTACTCTATCAAATTATCTTTTATCTATGTATGTGAATCCCAGTAGAATGTAAGCTCTTTGAGCTTAGGTACCATCTTGGTTTTTCTTTATATCCATGGCAACTAGCATATTAATTTGCATATTTTTTTTTTTCAGTTCAGACTTGTGATTTCATCAGTGTGGTGAGCTAACTGGGAAACTTCCTCCACAGGTGCAAATGGACAACTGATTTGTAACTTAGAGAGTTACAAACTTAGTCTTAGAGAGTCATTGGGGATATTGAGAGTTTAAGTGGTTTGCCATGATCACACAGCTAGCTGAATATCAGAAGCAGGACTTGAACCTAAGTCTTACTGGCTATAGGGCTGACCTGCTATTTAATGTGTTTTCCATTAATTTTAGCAGTTTCTTGCTTCATAATATCTCTTAACTAGACTCGCATCCATGTTAGCTAGATGTAAAATTGGGGCAGCATTCTTTTTTTCTTTCTTTCTTTAAAAATTTTTTGACATTTATTTTTATTTTATTTTTTCTCAATTACATGTAAGCAAAATTTTTTTTAACATTTTTAAAAATTTTGAGTTGTATATTCTTCTCTTCCCCTTTCTCCCTTCCCCCATCCTTGAGAAGGCAACCACTTTGATGTAGATTATACATGTGTAGTCATGCAAAACAATTCCATTTTAGTCACGCTGCAAAAGAAAACACAGACCAAAAAACAATAATAATGAAAGTTAAAAAAAGTATGCTTCAATCTGCATTCAGACTCCATCATATCTTTCTCTGGAGGTGGATAGCATTTTTCATCATAAGTCCTTCAGAATTGTCTTGGTTCATTGTATTGCTGAAAATAGCTAAGTCATTTACAGTTGATCATTGTGCAATATTGCAGTTACTGTGTACAGTGTTCTCCCGGTTCTGCTCACTTCATTTTGTATCAGTTCATATTAGTCTTCCCACATTTTTCTGAAACCATCCTGCTCATCATTTCTCATGGTACAACAGTATTCCACCACAATCGTATACTGCAACTTGTTTAGCCATTCCCTAATTGATGGGCATCTCTTCAATTTCCAATTCTTTGTCACCACAAAAAGAGCTGCAATAAATATTTTTGTACCTGTAGGCCCTTTTCCTTTTTCTTTAATGTCTTTGAGATGCAGACTTGGTAGTGGTATTACAAAGGATATGCACAGTTTTATAATCCTTTGAGCATAGTTCCAAATTGCTCTCCATAATGGTTGGATCAATTCACAGCTCTACCAACAGAACATTAGTGTCCCAATTTTCCCACATCCCCTCAAATATTTGTTATTTTCTTTTTTTGTCATGTGAGTTAATCTGATGTGTTTGAGGAGGTACCTCAAAGTTGTTTTAATTTTTATTTCTCTGATTAATAGTTATTTAGAGTAATTTTTTCACATGACTATAGATAGCTTTGATTTCTTCTTCTGAAAACTGCCTTTTTGACCATTTGTAAATTGGGGAGTGACTTGTATTCTTATAATTTGATTCATTTCTCAGTATATTTGAGAAATGAGTCCTCTATCAGAGAAACTTGCTATAAAAATTTACCCCCACTTTTCTGCTTTCTATATAATTTTGGTTGTACTGGTTTTGTTTGTGCAAAAGCTTTTTAACTTGATGTACTCAAAATTATCCATTTTATATCCTGTAGTGCTCTCTATCTCTTGTTTGGTCATAAATTATTTTCTTATCCATAAATCTGACTGGCAGAATATTCCATGCTCCCCTAATTTGCTTATGATATCACCCTTTGTGACTAAATTACATATCTACTTTGACCTTATCTTGGAATATAGTGTGAGATATTGATTTCTACCTAGTTTCTTCCAAACTGCTTTCCAGTTTTCCTAGCAGTTTTTGTCAAATAATGATTTCTTGTCCCCACATCTTCGAGGGGTGTGTCAAACGCTGGATTACTATAGTCATTTACAATTAGGTAATGTGTACCTAATCTAGTCCACTGATTGGGCACCATTCTTTTCAAAAAGATTTCTGCCATTGCCTTTGTAAGCTACAGGGTTGGACAAGACAGTTCTCTTCTTCCCTTGTGCATGAGAAGGAATGAGTTAATTTTCAAATACCTGCCAGGCTGCTCTCCCTAAGAGGTTATCCCAGTGTTTCCCATAGAGCCAGTGTCCTCCCCAAGTAGTTTTTTTGCAGTGGTTCCAAAAGGTTTTGACCAGTCAAGTCATCTTTTCCATATACAACATTACCTATCAGTCTTGTACAGAGTAGACACTTAATTAGTAAGTGTTGGTTGAACTGAATTGCATATTGGGAATCTCTCTACATGTATAGGAACACAAAAATTATCTTTTTATAAATGAGTAAGATGGGAAAATTGGGAAAATCAAATTGATTCTATTTTATTATTGATTTCATTCTGTATCACTGCCGATATTTTTATAACTGCCTAAGTCATGTTTCATTTGGCTTAGAGTTATTTTTGGAAAGTCAGCTTTCCTGTAAATTACTTATTGTCTCTGAGTTAAGTTTAGAAGTTCAGTTCTCTTGCTGATCACTGTTCTATTCTTGCCTCAAGGAAATCTGTTATCCTTCAGGGATGCAGGTGGATGCCAGGGAGTCTGGTCTGGTGTCCAAAGTCCACTGTTGCTAAAATGACCTTGCAAGTAGACTCAAATGATGAACATTTTTTAGCAACTGGATGGAAGGAGAGGTTGTTGCTAGCCCCTCATTCCTAATTTCCAGCCAGTCATATTGTTCTTCATACCTGGGATGCTTCAGACTGTGTAACCAATCATACTGCTTTCCCCATCTGTGATGCTTCCTTTTATTCTGGAGGCTACTCCTTTTGTCTATAAAAGAGAGCTTTTGCCCTCAGTTGGGGTTCTTGCCTTTCTGAGGTGGCTGAGACCCTGTTTATTGGCTAATTGACACTTTGTCAATAAATTGATAGTGCTTGGAACTTTGTGCCTCTGTTTTCCTTGATTTCAATCTTAACAGATGCAAATTAAATAGCTAAAGAATTTAAATGACCTTATTGCTTTTTCCTTTGACTTTGGAATTGACACTGGAGGGTTGGGCCCTAGAAAGTTATGTTTAACTGCCTGGGTGTGTTACCACTTTCTTTTTTTATTTTTGATTTTTAATTCACCCCAAGATGGTATGTTTATTTCTGTCAATTTACAGGCATGAATGGATTTGTTTCTCTCTTTGCAGATTGTCTGTGGCTATGCACATACATTAGTATTAACAGATGAAGGTCACCTGTATGCATGGGGAGCCAACTCTTATGGCCAGTTGGGTACTGGCAATAAAAGTAACCAGTCATACCCTACTCCAGTCTCTGTGGAAAAGGACAGGTAATACTTGCATTTTCAAGAAATAAATGCAGCTTCCGTGAGTAAGGAGTGGATGTGGCAGAGAAGTACGAGGAATTTATCTTTTTTATTATTATATTCATGCCTTTTGGGGGGTTTGAGTGGGTAATGAACTCTGGATTTGTGACTGTCAATATAAGGAACTCCCAGCATGAAAACTCCCTTTACTGATGTAGATCTGTAGTTCATCTTTAACTTATGGTCTTAGAGCACTGAGAGACTAATTGCCTTTGGACATGGAGGCAGCCAGTATAAAAGTATGGAGACAGGAGTTGAAGGGTTATGGGTGAAGAACATCAAGACCAGTATGATTGGATGGTGGAGTACATGGAGTTTTGCAAAGGTAGAATGAGAGTGGTTTGTACCAAACAAAGGAGTTTATATTTTATCCTTGAGATAATAGGGAATTGCTGGAATTTGTTGAGTCAGAGAATTGTTGTGGTGTGGGAGTGGGGGGGGGTAGGGAATGGGGTTAGGGAGTTGACATGTTGAGACCTGCACTTCAGGAAAATCACTTTGACAACTGTGTGGAGCATAATTTGAAGCGAGGAGAGAGCTGGGGGAAGCAACCATCTTAGAAGACTATTGTCCAGTCAAGAGGTAATAAAAGCCTGAATTAGTGTGGTGTCTGTATGAGTAGAGAACAGAGGTTTGTATATAAGATATATTGTGGAGGTAGAAACCACAAGATTTGGAAACTGATTGGATATATGAGGTGAGTAAGAGTGAGGAGTTGAGATTAAATCCCAGGAACCTGGGCTACTGAAGTGATGGTGGTACCCTCAAGGGAAATTGAAAAGTTCAGAAAAGGATAGGTTTTAAAGAAAAGATAGTAAGTTCATTTTTGGATGTGTTATGTAAGCATTTAGCAATTTCCTATTGTGACAGTTTCCTATGGATGGCAATTAAGATTGATGGTGAAAACATACAATTTGTTTTGAGGAACAGTGACCATTAGCAAACACTTTGTAGGAAAGCAATTTAATTCAGCCATTGAAGGCACCAGGGAAGATTCAGAGTTTAGCTAAAACAAAGTCTTTGATCTGATCATGCAGCTTGCATTCTTAATAAAGGTCATGTATCTTGATATGGACAAGATATATATCTGGTAAGAGGCAGAGCTGAGATTAGAACTTCATTCTTTTTTTTTTTAACATATCTTTTCAATGAACAAGAAACTGTTTTTCTCTTCCCTCCCAACTCTTCCCTTTCCATCAGAAAAAAGAAAAAAAAAACTTTTGTAACAAGTATGCACAGTCAAAACTAATTCCTGCATTAGCCACGTTCAAAAAGCATGTATCTCAATTTACACCCTGGGTCTTTACTTTTCTGTCAGGAAATAAGTAGCATGTATCCCAAGGAGTCCTCTAGAATCATGATCAGTCACTGTGTTGATTATAGTTCTTAAGTGTTTCAGAGTCATTGGTCTTTACAATGTTATTTTATTGTATAAATTGTTCTGGTTCTGCTCACTTTGCTCTACATCAGTTCATATAAGTCTTACCAGGTTTCTCAGAAACTGCCCCCTTTATCATTTCTTACAGCCCCAAATAGTATTTCTTTACATTTATGTGCCGTAATTTGTTCGGCCATTCCCTAATCATCGGATACCCCTTAGTTTCCAGTTCCTTGCCACCACAAAAAAAGAACTGTCATAAATATTTTTTGTAGATACAAGTCCAGCTTCATTGGTCTGGGGTGGGCCATTATGTCCTCATGCCTGGACTATGCAGTATTCAGTTGGTCGGTCTCCTTGTCCCAAGTCTCTCCCCACTCTAGTCCATCGTCTGTTCTGCTGTCAAAGTGATCTTCCTAAAATTCAGGACTGACCACATCACCCTCCCACTCAGTGACCTCCATTGACTCCCTGTTACCTCAAAGATCAAATATAAAATCCTCTGGCTTTTAAAGCCCTTTATCACCTGGCTCCTTCAAACCTTTCCAGTGTTCTTACACTTTATTCTCCTCCACATTCTCTACAATCCAGTGACATTGGCCTCCTTGCAATCCTTCAAACTCAATCCATCTTTTGACTGAGTATTTTCATAGGGTTCATGGCTAACCTCCATACCTAGAACACTTTATCTCCTTATTTCTGCCTCCTAGTTTCTCTGGCTTACCTAGTTTCTCTTACTTCAAGTCTCAACTAAAGTCCTACATTTTTCAAGAACCCTTTCCTAGTCCTTCTTCATCTTAATGCCTTCTCTCTAAAATTACCTCCAAGTTGTCCTGTGGATATTTCCTATTTATATAGTTGTTTGCATTTTGTTCAGCTGTCTTTGTCCCCCTCCGCCCTCTCCTCCTGTTAGAGGGTGACCTCCTTGAGAGCACGAATTCTGGTTTTTGCCTTTTTTTGTATCCCTGGCACTTAGCACAGTGCCTGGCATTGTAGCCACTTAATAAATGGTATTTGACTGACTTATGCTCTGTTGTTCTTTTCAATACACCGTACTTACTCTGAGAAGCAGTTAGTTAAACATTTTGTTAGGCTTGTTACACATAGGAAGTATCCTAAGTTAGCTGTTAGCTTTACTGATAAAAGCCTGGAAAAATCCTTCCTTCAGAATTTGCCTCTTTGTTACATCAGTGGCGTTCGGCCACGGCACCTAATCACACTGAGGCACAGAAGTTCTCTCATAATTCTCTCCAATTTATTCTCATAACAACCACCCCTGTTAGTAAAGCTCAAGTCTCAAAAATGATTTCCTGTGTGGAGCAAGGAAGACCAAATTAAGACTAATCAGTGTTGCTTGGGCGGGGGAAGAGGTGGTTTAGTCCCTTTTACACAGTCTACCTCCTTTCATAGGATGGGCCCCATCTCTATAATTTCTATCTTCATACAGCCTCTTCTCTCCTCTTATGTCTAGGCCCTAGTCACCCTTTGCCTGAACATTGCAACTGCCTTCCAACTAGTTCCCCTACCTCACGTCTCTCCCCACTTGAGTCCATCCTCCACTCAGCTGCCAAAATGATTTTCCTAAGGTAAAATTCTGGCCATATCACTCCCCTACTCAATAAATTCCAGTGGTTCCCTATTACTTTAAGGATCAAATATGAACTCCTTTGTCTGGTATTTAATGTCCTTTCCAACTTGACTCAACCTGACCTTTCTAGTCTTCTCATATTTTACTGCTTTCTGTATTCCATCTGTACTGTATTACTTACTATTCTCCTAAGATGACACTCCATCTCCCATCTCTCTGCCTTTGTATTGGCTGTCCCTCATTCCTGGAATGCTTTCCCTTCTCACCTCCATCTCTTGGCTTCCATAGATCCCTTCAAGACTCAGCTCAAATGCCACCTTCAACAAGAGACCTTTCCTAGTATCCTCAGCTCTCCAAGCTCAACTAGATTGGTTCTTGAATGAGAGATATATTTGTCCCTGGAACTTTTCTTAAGGCCTTTCTACTTTGGTAGGACCTTCAAGAACATGACTTCTGCTGGGATAGCCTGCAAGAGCCCAAGAACTCTACATGATATAGGATAGAACTTTTACAGTGGCATGCTATTTGGTACCAGTACCTCAGTTCAAATAATGGCACTGCCACTTTATCTCTCAGGGTCTCAGTTTTCTTATCTATAAAGTAAGCGGGTTGGATAAGATGACTCTGAATGACCAACTTCCAACTCTAAATTTATGATCCCATGATTATGCTGTTTGCAAAACATTTTGGCCCACCTTGATCACTTGATAAATACTCAAGAAAATTTAAAAGGCCTTGTTCATAGAACACAGAATTTTAGACTTGACAAGGACCTCTATGGCTATCTATTCCAACCCATATTTGAAAAGGAATCTCATGACATACTTGGCTAGGGGTCATCCAACCTAAGCATTGGTGTATACACTATAGCTTTCTAAACCCCAGCCCTCTGACCCCACATATGTTATCTCCTTAAAGGCAGAGACCATTACAGTTTCTTTGGATCCCTCGTACCTAGCACAGTGTCTTGAATATAGAAGGCAATTAATAAATGATTGTTGAATCGAATTATTAATGCAGGGGTTTAAGAAGATTAACATGGCAGCATTGGATGGGATGGATTGGAAGGGTGACAGATTGGTGGTCATGAAAGCAGTCAGAAGACTGCCTCCCATAGTTCAGGTGTAAAGTGATAAAAAACTGAACTAGGGTTGTAGCCTGAAGACTGCAAAGGAAGTCTTGGTAGAATATGGTAACTAGATTATGGAGTGAGGGAAAATAACCAGAAATAATAAGCCTTGAGTTTAGAGCCAAGGTGACTAAAAGAATGGTGGCCAGTAACTGAAAGTAAGATGCCAAGAGGGTTGCTGAGCTGGTTTTAGTCAGGCACTGTAAGTGCTAGGGATACAAAGAAAGACAAAAAAAAAGGCTTGAGTGGGAAGATGAGGAGTTTTCTCTTCTGCTGCAATGGTGGATTATTAAAGATAGATTACTCTAACTAAACTATCAAAGCACCATGTTATCCATGAGGTTGTTCTGGGAATCACTTAATGGCCAATTCCAGAGTTACTTCACTTGAGTCTTTTGCTTAATGACCTCAGAAGGCTTCACTCCTCTACACAAGAAACCAATAGCACCCAAGAAGGGAGAGTCAGGGATTTTCAGCATATTGATGGTTCCACACACAAAACTCTTCATTTTCCCCTAGAAATGAAGCAACAAAGAGGTTGTTTTTTAATAGAACATTTTTAAAATGAGAGTTTGTGGAGCATCTTTTTCAAATATTTAATTTTTTATTTAAAAAATTTTCAATTAATATACATTTATTTTATTTCTTCCCCAGAACCTCTCCCCTCTGTTGGAGGAGGGGGGAGAAAAAGAAAAATGAAACCCTTGTAACAAATATGTACAGTCAAGCAAAACAGATTCCCACATTACTGCCTTTGCACAAGTCCCTCCCATCCCCCCACCCCATGTCTGGAATGCTCTGCCTTCTCACCTCTGCATCTTAGAATCTCTGGCTGCCTTCAAAGCCCTGCTCATGGTCCACCTCCCACACAAGACCTCCCCTGACTCCCCCAGTTGCTAGTGCCTTATGTTCTTTGAAATTACATGTATTACTTTGTATATATTTTCTGTTTTCTTCCCGGTGTACACAGTATACCCCCCCTAATAAAAAACACGTAAGCTCCTTGAGGGCTGAACAGTTTCACTTTTGTGCCTAGCACAGTGCTCTGGATGTTGTGGACATTTAATATACATTGAATTGAATTGAACAAGTGAAGTTTTAAGAAAAGTTTAAAAATACCTTGTTTTATTTCTTGAGTTTCTTGAGTTGTTTCAGTTTAATTGGAAAGTGGAATTCACAGTAAGATGTTGTATATGAAAAAAAAAAGAAAAAAAAGATGTTGTATATGGGTACACCGGCAGGGAGGGCTGACTAATAGCCATTGATAGGATATTGTCGAAGTCATATTGAACCTCGAGGAGATAAAGTAGGTGTTTCATTGTTGCAGAAGCCAATAGGGTATGTGTTCAGCTTCTGGGGGTACCTTAAATAAAGATACAGTATGCACAGGTCTTTGAATGAAATGTGTGGTACAAGATGGCCTCCTCCTCCACCCCTTGGCTAACGTGGCATCCTTATGTTTGATCATGAACTTAGAGTGATCGAGATTGCAGCCTGTCACTCTGCCCACACTTCTGCAGCCAAGACCCAGAGTGGCCACATTTACATGTGGGGTCAGTGTCGGGGCCAGTCTGTGACTCTTCCACACCTCACCCACTTCTCCTGCACAGACGATGTGTTCGCTTGCTTTGCGACACCGGCTGTATCATGGCGCCTCCTCTCTGTTGGTGAGTTCGATGGCATCTGATTTGGGGTGGCGTCTGAGGACACATGGGGGACAGTGATGTTGACTTCACTTCTGTGGTATGTGGTTTGAGTGAAGGGCAGCCATGAAATGGTGAATGATTTATTTTCCTGTGATTATTCAGAGCAGGAAAAACATATTTTATGCCTAAGGGAGAGAATGTGACTGGTTGGGCTGGCTGAGCTATGAGTCTGTGAACTAAAAAGCCTCCTTCCTTCAGACCAGAAATTCTTAAGAGATTCATGAACATGTTTTTGTTTTTGTTTTTGTTTTTTAAACTATTCGGGTAACTAGTTCAGTGTAATAGTTCAAGAGCCCTGCTTTGGATCTTCCTTGGAGCTAGAGGAGTTAGATGGTCTAATGGGTCCCCAAAATGATTTAGGCATACCCCACCTAACATCATTAATTGATTCTGCAAAAACTTGGCATTAGGTGAAACAATGTTACCAGGGCAGTTCCATAGGAACAGTGGGATAGTCAACAAATTGATGGTAAGGGGAGTTAATAGCACTGGGGCCATAGTAGTTTCCTGAACTGTCATTGCTCACCTATTTTGCACCTTGGATAATTGTCCAAAAGGCTTGATTGTAGCCAAAAGGCAAAGAAATAATTGGTTTGTTACACATCAAAGATATTATTGCAAAACAGTGTTGGTTGGGATAATCCTATGTGAAATATGTTTTGGAAGCATTTAGTATCTATGAAAGGGATCTAATTTTACTGACAAATTCTATTAAAGTATTTTGAAATTAACAGTCCAAACTCAGACTAAAAGAACATCCTTTTATTATTGATACATTATTAATATATATAACAAAATATTAACATGTTTACATATTACATCTCATATACATTATATATTAATCAAATGATGTGTATTAACAATAAAATATTAATGTTGAATAATTTAATTATTATTCATGTATGAGTACTCCCACCATTGATATAGATATCAACCCCTCTTCACCTTAGATGATGGTCTTTGACACTTGCTGTGACCAAATAATCTATCACTTTGCAATTAACCTGGTGCAGAGATTCTCTAATGACAAATATACAGTTAGTTTGTCATTGGGCTCAAGCCTTTCCAGCTTGATAGACCCTACCAGAGTTTATACTCCTCTGATGGAACCTTCTAAAATCTAAGGGCCTCCTCTCCCTATGATGAAAAATTTAATAATAGTGATAACTAGCATTTGCATAGTGTTTTAAGGTTTGCAAATGATTTAGGGAATTATTATTATTAAACTATTATTTATATATTACTAGGTGACTCAGTGAATGGAGCCCTAGGCCTGGGGTCTGGAAGACCTGAGTGCAAATGTGACCTCAAACACTTAATATCTGTGTGATCCTGAGCAAGTCACTTAATCGCCGTCAGCCTCAGTTTCCTCAATTGTAAAATAGGGATAATAACAACACCTACTACCCAGGGTTGATCAAATGAGATAACATATATAAAGTACTTTGTAAACCTTAAAGCGTTATATAAATGCCATCTATTATGATTACCTTAAGATCTGTAAAGTACTTTCTTTGAAACAATCCACTGAAGTAGGTAATATAAAAAATATCCCTATGAGGAAACTGAGGCACAGAGAGTGACTTGCAGCTTTCCAGGTATTGGAGCCTGGAGTGAAACTCTGGCCTTCTGCCTCTAAGCCCAGATGCTCTCATCTTTACTTTGTGCCGCCATCTCTTCATTTTTATCTTGTACATTTGAAACTTCAGCATAAAAAGCTTGTTGGAGTTGTTTTCTGTTCAGGAGCTGGAGCAGGAGTGTGTGATGGCCTTGGGGAACAGGTGAGGAAGGTCTTGTCTACAGCACATGCAGAGAAATCCTAGGGGGAATCTGTTTATCATTGATTGGCAGTCTGGTCACATTTGTTGCTAAAATCTGAAGCATGTCTTGTTGCCCTAGAGCCGGATGACCACCTCACAGTAGCTCAGTCACTGAAGAAAGAGTTTGATAACCCTGAAACTGCGGACTTGAAATTTCTGGTAGATGGAAAATATATTTACGTGCATAAGGTCCTTCTCAAAATTCGGTAAGGAATAAATTTATTCTTCTGCCTGGGTGGAGTTGGTTCATTCATTAATTTGGGGACACCAATTATGAGCAAGACACTGTACTAGGTGCTGCAGGGAACTCTAAGAAGTACAAGGTATCCCAAAAGTCTTAGTGTAGTTGTAAGTTTTGGGGATACTCTGTATCCCCTAAAATGCAGTCCCTGTTAGCAGGGAACCTGCAGTATAGGGTGGACGTCAAGATGTATACATGTAAAACATGAAAGGAACAATGCAAGGCAGTATAGGTTTAAGTGACCAAATGTAAGCTTGCTTGTAGTAGGGATTGCGTCATTTCTTGTATTTGTTTCCCCATTGCCACTTGAATGCCTGGCACATAGTAAGAGTTTAATAAATGCTTGTTGATTGATTAATCATTGAGAAAAGGGAGTAGGTGGAGGTAGTAAATGTTTTCTGAACTGTAGACTGAACTATGTGATCTTTACATTGTAATAATTAAATGAGATATATTTAAAGTGCTTCTGTAAACTTCAAAAGCTATCTACAGTATGTTGGTTATTATTATTGTATATATTGTTCTCGTTATCTTGTTTATTTCATTCTTCATCAGTTCATGCCAATCTCATTTTTCTGAATTCTTCACATTCATCATTACTTACTGCACAAGGATATTATACTGACCTAAGTTCAGATCCAGCCTCAGACACTATCTGGGCAATTCACTTAACCTCAGTTTGCCTTAGTTTCCTCATCTGTAAACTAGAGGTAATACAATACGTACCTCCCATGATTATTGTATCAAATGAGATACATGTAATAATATTTAGATACTTTTAATATTTTATGTGTTTAGCAATTTACAAACCTTAAGATGCTATATAAATGCTGGCTGTTATTTTTTATCATTGTATACCAGAATTTTTTCAGTCATTCCCCAATTGATGCTTACCCAGGGGTGGAGAACCTGTGGCCTCGAGGCTGCATGTGGCCTTCTAGGTCTTTGGGTCCAGCCTTTTGACTGAGTCCAAGTTTTACAGAACCAATCATTTTATTTAGGGGATTTGTCCTGTGAAGTTTGGATTCAGTCAGAGGGCTGCACTTGAGCAGCTCACCCATTTGGTTTCCATTTCTCCCCTAACAGAATGTAAACTCCTTGAGGGCAGGTGCTATCTTTTTTTGGTTCTTATTTCCCCAGCACCTAGCACAGTGGCTACAAACCTTTACTTGTTGATGGATTGATTTCTACCACAAAGACTGATGCCTGGGGCTTCCTTTTTCAGGTGTGAACATTTTCGATCTGTATTGAATGGCAATGAGGATGACATAGTAGAAATGGATGAATTTTCATATCCTGTTTACCGAGCCTTTCTGGAATACCTGTACACAGACTGTATCAATCTGTCTCCAGAGGATGCAATAGGTAATAATCGCGAGAGTCATATTGTACCAATGACATTGTAAGATGTTCATCTCTATGGTAAGAGTGTGGAAAGAGAATCCCTGGGGATGTCCAGTGACTTGGACTTTATTCCTCTCACCTCTTTCTCTTTCTTCTGCTTTATGTGAACAAGGCAGTGGAAATAAGTTGAAATCCCAAATCATTATTACTGCTGTTATTAATGGTGTTCTTTGTGACCATTTCAGACATGTACCACCATAACAGACAGTTGCCATACGGACCACACATAAGACATTTGCATTCTAAAAGAGACGTGACACAGCTAATAGGAAATCCTTTGCAAATTGACACAACTACACACACACACACACACACACACACCCCCCTTTAAAAAACAACAACAACAACAACACCCTAGCAAGGGTAGTTGTAGTGCATTGATGTTTGAAATTAATCCTTCCTGATAAATACTCTCACCTTCACCAGGACTGCTTGATCTGGCGACATTTTACAGAGATAACCGATTGAAAAAGCTCTGTCAGCAAACTATCAAACAAGGGATCTGTGAGGACAACGCCATCGCTCTGCTTTCAGCCGCTGTGAAATATGAAGCCCAGGTGAGAAGAGAGATTGGGGGAAAGGTATTTGAGGGGGCAGTCACGCTTTTATGGAGTCGCTGCCTGGTCTTTTACTTCCTGAGGCTGCTCTGAGCTGGTCACCTGAGACAGTGTGTGTGAAGTGCTTTGTAACCACAGAGGTTTATATGAATGTGAGCTGTACTTGGAACAGTGACCAGTTAATCAATTGATAAGCACTTATTAAATGCTTTCTCAATGTAAGGCACTGTGCTGGGCACTGTAGATACAAAGACAAAAATGAAATGATTTTGTGTTGTATTGTGGAAAACAAGATTAAAAAAACTGTATATAGAAAACATATGTGTGTATATGTGTATGTATGTGTCTATACAAAATATATGTTTCATATATATATATACACACACACACATACACACACACACTATACATGTATATATGTATATACACACATATAAAATAAATGTGAGGAACTTTCCAGGGGAGATTTTTCCAAAAACCCTAGCTACATGTAGAGTTTGGATAGTTGCTTCAAACTTATGCTCAATGTCAGCTACAGAGAGGCAGAATGTGCCCATGTTTCAGCATTGTGGTCTAACCACATAGGCTATCCTATGCTTAAAAGTGAAGAACATGAAGCTTTCATATTTACTTGTGATCTTCTTTACAATTTCTGTTGTCGTCGCTAAGCATTTTTTTATTTAAAATAAATTCTTTTACCTCTGTGATTATTAGAACTGCCCAAAAGTGCAGGGTGATGTATTTGAATTTCCACAAATTGCTTAAATTGAAAAGTCTTAAACTTGGAAAACTGATCATTGTCTTCCCCTATAATAAAGGCACTGGCCTGTACAATTTAGTGACCTATTTCCCTTCATGGTAGTATTGCTAAATAATCTGAATTTTAACTGATTTATTCACTGGTAGTGGGTCTCCACATGGATAGTTGTATCTTGTTTGGTCTTTGGCTGGTCATTGGCCATCGCCTGTATTACTCTGGTACAGTGTGTCTTGGGCTCCACTGTTCTACAGAATCTCATTGCAACTGATTTGATTCTGTGTCAAGATTCTTTGATGATCTTGTTTTAACAAATTCTGTATCAGATAATCCCATATGGTGGTTCTCAAGCTATTTAAAAGTGGCAGAACCTTTCTTTTAAACAAAATTTTGACAAAACTCTTACATTAAAATCTTTTACAAGTATTTTTTAAAAACCTGTTGCTATTGATGTCAAATGACATGAGATTGATTTTCAAAGAGGGAAAAAAACCTCATTTTTAAATCAATATTTATTCCAAATCTAATAACATTTGAAAAAAAAAAACAACTTTTTTAGTGAGGTGTGTGTAAGAGTGATTGCTTGTTATCAATGTTTGTTTTAAATTTGGGAGCACTATTGGAAGCAGTGTTTTAACTTAGAAGATGCTTTAAAGTGTACATTTTCCCCTTGCCTTACATAAACCTGTGTTTAATTTGGTTTATTTGAATTTGGCAAACACTTACAAAGCATATACCAAGTGTAGTCTGCTAGGTGCTGGAGTAAAAAGATTAAATCTCAGCCTTCAAAGAGCTTACAGTCATAGGATCATAGATTTAAAGCTGAAAAGGACCTTAAAGGTCATGAGGTCTAACCCCCTCATTTTATAGCTGATGAGACCCAGAGAGATTGCCATTTTTCTGATGTCACAGAGGGAGTAAGTGGAAGGACTGAGAACAGTCTATGAGGGGTATACAACACACACAAAAATAAGCCTGATGCAAAGTAGAATATGATAAGGGCAAAAGAAAGTTCCAAAATTCTTTAAGAAAATTTGAGGAGGGAGAGATCATCATAATTTGGGGAATAACTACAAATGTTTCATGGAGAAGTTGGCCTAAGCTATTCCTTGAAGAAAGAAAAGGATTGCAGAAAAGGAAAATGCAGAGGGGTGCATTCCAGGAAATTGGCCTCTATAAGTACACAGAGGTGCATGATGGCCTTTTTTGTTTAGGGGGCAACTAGTCCATTTTGACTGGAACACAAAGAGTATTAATGAATGAATAAGAATTTATTAAGTGCTTACCACATGCCAGGCATCATGCTAAGTACCGAGGATAACAAACATAAGCAAAAAGAAAGACATTGCTTGCCTTTGGGGAGCTTTCATTCTAATAGGGGAAGACAACATCTATAGGGACAGTAGCCTATAGACAGAAGAGTTTCAGACTCCTAGGAAAGTCAGAGGCAATGGTGATTGGGATCATAAGGAAATTAACTGAATGTGTCCTGTCCAGGAATGGTAGTAATGATTTGATGACTTTGTAGAACTAGAGTTGGGAAAGAAATTGGGGGAGCGGATATAAAATGAGCCTGTAAAGATAGGTTGGAAACAGTTTATGGAAGACCTTAAGTACTAAGCTAAGGACTTTGCATTTTATTTTACAGGTAATGAAAATTTTGACTGGAGAAGTGATATTATTAGGTAGATTATTTTGGGAGTTGTATGAAGGATGGATTTGTCAGGGGAGAAACTGGAGACAAGGAGAATATTGGAAAGCTATTATAGAATAGTCCATGCCTAGGGAGGGCCTGAATTAGGAGGAGGTAACTAAGTGTTAGAGAGGAGAGGAAACATGTGACTGCTATCCTAGAGGTAGAATTGGCAATGCAGGATCCCACAACACAAAGATGATTTCAGTGCTGACCACCTCTTTAATTATGTGATCAGGTACCACAAAGCATGCAATACCTTTTTCTTCAGAAAATTCTGTTCTGTTTAGAGCAGTCCATCATAAATCTCATCCACCTTTTTCAACAGGTTCGAGTTTTCATAAACTTTGCATCCAGGTAATCACTTTCAAGATAGAACATATTATTAATATAGAACTGGTTGAATGTGGGAACTCATTTTGGGAATGGTGAGTTTGAGGTGCTTACAGGGCATCCAGGTGGGGTCATCAGAGTGGGATATCCAGATTTGAGAATCATCTGCCCAGTAGTGAATTTTAGCCATAGGAGTGAATGATTCCATTGAGAGAAAGAGTTTTAAGAGAAAAGAGAAGAGGGCTGAGAATACACCACCTGTGCGCGCATGCACACGTAGGAAATGAGAAGAATCAAATGGATCAGGGAATCTAATTGCAAAAGATTAGTCGGGTAGAGGAACTGGGAGTGGACGGTATGGGATCAAGAGAAGAGGGATATAATGAAGGAGGTAGTGGGCAAAGGTTGTCAAATTCTGTGGAAGATCAGGGGGGTTGAAGACAGAAAAAATTCTTGGACTTGACAATTAAGAAGTCACTGTTGACCTTGGACAGGACAATTTGAGTGGTGGAGACAGATTACAAGGGGTTGGGGATAGCATGGGAGGTGAGGAAGTAGAAACATATCTACTACTTTTTCTAGAGCTTTAAGAGTGACAAGGAAGAGATAAGAGACAATAACTTTAGGGGTAAGAATAAAAAGTGGTTTTTTTTTAGGTTGGAGAGAGCTGAGCATGTTTCTGTGTGGAGGGGAAGGAACTAGTAAGAGAAGAAGAGATGGTTTGTTCATTTTTTTTTCAATTAAGCATTTATTTTTTTCCCTCTCACCTTTCCCCTCACTGGGGAAAAACGTCCACAAAACCCTGTTAACAAATATATTTAATCCAGTTAAGCAAATCCTCGTTCTCTTCAGGAAGAAATTGAAGATGAGAAAGATGGAGCAGTCAGTGGAAGGTATCAAAGGAGGCAAGAGTAGATGAAGTCAGGGGCAAAAGTGTAACATCAACTAGCAAGGCCAGTTCCTCACTTTTAAAAATTTTTTTTTTTTTTTACTAAAAGTTTTGAGAATTTTGTTTATACATTTGCTGTGTTTAGTATTTATCTCAAAATTCTTACTAAACTAGAAAACAAAAGTTCTTTGCAGCTTAATGGAAGGATGGCTCACAGGTTCCCCTTGGATGGGAAGGGTTTGATGGACTTGGTTTTATCATGAATTTAGAAGCAACAAAAAGCATCATTTCATGGAACATTTAGTCGTCTCATATTGCAGTGCTCATCATAAGCACTTGCAAAAATATGACTAGAAAAAGACTTTCACCTCTATGTACTAGTATCTGTAGTAAAAAATGAGAAGGAAAGGAAAATTCTATAAAGAATTCTTGAAAACCTTCCTTATTAAATCCAAACACTCAGTAATTGCAGTGCAAAAGTGAGCATGAGGAAGACAGGGAAAAATAGGTTGGAAAATGTGGCTAAGAAATAAGGACCAAGAAAGTCCAAAATTTTGTATACCACCCAGAAGACTCACTTATATATGGCATGAACACTTTCTTGGAAAAAAGAATGTAGAGGTTGTGGACATGGCAAGAACCAAATCATAAAACAAAAATTAAAGTTGATTATTATTTAACCAGAAATTATTCATTCCTGATACTGGACTCATTCTGGAATTGCCTAACTGTGTACAATCAGACCACCCAAACTAGAAGATTAAAAATGAGAAAATAAATCTAGCATCCTGTTAAAACAATTCTAATTGAACCAATTTAAACAAGCTGTTGACCCTCAAAAATAGGGAATGGATAGTGAAATGTATGTGCACACAGATTATAGCCATTCCCTAAATAAGCTTACCCAATGTAAATCACTTTCCATAATGAGGAGAACAAAAGAGCCTAGAAACCCCCTCAGCCAGTAAGACTTTATCCTCTTGCCCAATGAAAAAATACAACAGCCAAAGACAAATAACCAGTTTAGATATAAATTCATTTTAAAAATCTTATAGAGGAGGATGGTAGAAGATGATGGATCTTATTGGTTAATAAAATAGTGAGAAGCAGTGGAGGGAAAACAAGTTTAAAGAAAGTTTGACAAAAGAACCATTTAAGCAAAGACATCTGGAGGATATTTAAAGATGAAACTGGAAGGAGGTTGACAAACTGTAATATAATAAAAATAGTAATTAATACAGACTATGCAAGCAAAATGTGCATATTTCAATGGAGACTTGATAATGACATCCATGAATATTGAGTAGGTCAGAGAAACTGGAAGGGAGGACAAAATAGTAAAAGTAGAAAAACTCTATGAAGATTTATATAATAAAATCTTTTCACCATCAAGGACAATGGAGACATCACATTTGGACTCCAAACACTCCAGGCCCAAATGGACAACATGAAGATATGGCCGTGGCACTGTAGAAAACAAAGATGGGAAGAGCCGCTTATCTCGACCCAGTATACATAGAGAAGGTCCATCCTGGTGGTGGCATAATTTTGAGGGATAGAGCCTCAGGTTTTCTAAAAGAAAAGAGGATACCAAAGTCATAGGAAAAAATATTGGATCTCATTATTATAAAAAAACAAACAAACGTGAGAATATCTATAATTATCAACTCATATGCTGACTTTTCCATCTCTGAAATATTTTTTATGAGAATAATCCACACACACACACATTGAGGTGGCCTTTGATGAAGGAACGCAAGGGGAACGTGAAATCTTCCATAATTAATATTCTGTAGCAGACCACATTTTTCAGTTATGCAGTTGCCTGAAAGACCGAGAGAATACCAGTTTGTTTAGCACTTATTTGTTAATTATAAAAAGCATTTGATTTAGTAAAACAAAATGCTGCCTTAAAGGCTGTCTCCCAATTATTAGATGCATATGTCAAAATCATGTAAGATTTCTTGAAATATACAAGAATAGAGATACCTGTTAGACTACTCTCTGATTGTTTGTATCAAACAAGGCATAAAATGGAGATGTAGGCTTGCCAGAGGTATTTCCTGCTGCAATGGAAGATGACTATTGCAGGGGCCAAAAAAAAACCGTAATCTATTGCTGTTGAGATCCTTCAGGTGCTTCTGTTTGTAGATGACATCGTACTAATTGCATGAAGTGCCAGAACATTGTAGGGCCTCCTCAGGGAAAAGGGGTGGGGGGAAGGGAATAAGCATTCATTAAGGGTCTAGTATGTGTCAGGCACTATATTAAGTGTTTTTACAAATTAAACTCATTTGGTCCTCACAACAACCTGTGAAGTAGATGCTTTTATTATCCCCTTTTTACAGATGAGGAAACTGAGGCAAACAGGTTAAATGACTGGCCTAGGGTCACACAGCTGTGGCCAGATTCAAATTTAGGTCTTCCTGACTCCAGATCCAAGCACTATGCTCTGTGCCATCTAGCTGTCCTTATGAGATGCACAATCACTTAAAAGAATTCAGCCTAACTATCCACATAGGAAAAACCAAGTGAATAAAGCCTGTTCGTTAGCCTATGACATACATTTGGATAGATAACCCATAGAACTAGTCTATCAGTACATGTATCTCGGACAGCCACAGCAAATGGACAGTGAGCTAGTCCCAAAATTGAGCAGCAGGAGGAGATTAAAGTAGATTACTTTGGGAAGTTTCACAGTTCTTTTAATGAACAAGCTTCTTGCTGAAACATGTCCATTTTCTTAATATCAGTATTCTTCTGGTGATGTTGCATCCCCCTAGTTCATGGAATAGCACAATCTTTGAAGAATCCCTCAGAGAAACATATGATTGGAAAAAAGAATGGGCCAGTCACAAAGCAAAAGTAAGAGATAAAGAACCAATGGCATCCATGCAGTGGATAGTAAGAAAAAGGCACTTAGTGTATTGGTAGTATATTGGGTGGACTGCTTGTAGCAGATTATGGGAGGATAGGGACAAGAGTCACATAAGATGGGCAGACATAGGTGTGTAAGGATTTCCAGAGTACCCACAGCATAGCATGTATCAGGAACACTACAAGTAAACATTAAATGGAGATATCTGTGTTTATTCTATTTGGGATTTGGCACTTAGCCTAGATTTTTAGATAATTGTTTATTCATTAGTTTTGGTCCTTAACAAATGACTTTCTATCTCTTTAAACTTCTAGATTTTGCCTAATAATCCATAAATGGTGAATGGTAAAGTGGAAAAAACAGTAAAAATAAACCAAAAAATACTAAGAATACATATGAATGGCAGTTATGTTATTTATTTTTGAAGATACCAATACATATTTAATATTACATAGTAAATGTATGATAAGAGAAGTGAAAAATAAATTTTTGAAATCTTCAGCAATCAGCGTAGCGTCTTTGGAAGCTTCATTAGACCAATCTGCTGCTCAGAGATTCAGAGATTGCTAGAGTTGGAAGGAACCTTACAGGTCATTTAGTCCAGAGGTGTCAAATTCTGAGTCAGTATACAACCCACAGGGATCCATTTCTCCTGGAGTGTGACACCACTGATCTAGTCTATCCCCATAGCTTGATCTTCTAACTCAGATCTGATGTTTGGATTCCTGGAATCAGCGGACTTTTTGAATGTTTGTTCATTGAGTTGAGCTATGCCATCTTCTTTCCCCTCATTTCCCTCCATTTTTGCTATTAAAAGTTCAGCCTCTGATTTCAGTTATTTTATGCACACTTTTCTAACACAGACGCATTGTGTTACATATGTGACTAGACAAGTTCATCCATTGATTCTAGCCCAGTAAGAAGCCAACTTTTTAGTCACATGATCAATTTTGACTGATTCTGTGATTTTCCATATTTGTTGAATATACATCCCATATACAACCTGGCAGCAAAGTGGACAGGTTTGTGGGTATGTTTGTTCACCCATCATAACATTTTTCTTCCTGAAACCCATTGAACTATTTGTTGGTATCCGAGGGTTTCTTAGAATATAGCTTGGGAAATACTGACATATAACCACTTCCTGATAAGTATCAGTCTAACAGAAGAATTCATGTACTTTTTGCTTTTTATAAACACATTAAAATGTGGGTGGCACTTGTAATGCAAGAGAATTAGAAATGCAGTGAGTTCTAAGAGCATTTTCTAACGACAATAATAATTGACATTCACATTGCATTTTCAGGTTTACAAAGCACTTCACCTACCTTATTTCATTTGATCCAATCTCAGTTGGTGATTGATTATATGAGGCAGAATGTTCTCTACCTAATCCTTTCCAAAGGTTACATTCGCTCTTTTTCCCCTTTGAAGTAAAAAAAAAGTCAGTTTCTGTAAGCTGGTAAGAAGGAATCTAGATGAGAGGCATGTCTCTCAGTCTCCTCTTTTTTTTCTTTTTCTTTTGTCCCTCTGCTACTCTCAGAAGCCACTTACAGCCAGAGATATTTTAAAGCACTGAAGGAAATGGAACAGGGGAATGCCCCACTTGTAGCAAAACATGCTTCCTGCTTTCACAGGCTCTTGAGATCGGAAAGGACGGCAAAGGTCTGCTTGCACGACTCCGTCTACAATATCCTCGCCTCCACTTCCTCTTTGGGACAGCGTCTATTGTCAGGGAGTTTTTTTCTTAGTTCCGCCAAAATCTGTCTCTGTAGTTTCCATCCGTAGCTCTGGACCCTGCCCTCTGTCTCCATAAAGAACAAGTCCAGTCTGTCTTCCACAGGGCAGCCCTTTACATTCTCAAAAGGTTCCCTCCTCCCCCTGCCAATCCAGTGTTCTGTTTTCCAGGCTAATCATCTGCAGTTCTTTCAACTGCTCCTTGAATCAAAGGGTTTCCAGTCCCCACACTGTCCTGATTGCCTTCCTTTGGGTGGATTCCAAATATTTTTCCTAAAATGGGTCATATAGAGCTGAACAGACTACAGGGGTGAGGAACCTTCAGCCTTGAGGCCACATATGGCCTTCTACATCCTTAAGTGGGGCCTTTTGACTGAATCCAAATTTTACATAACCTCCAATCTTGAAGTCACATACAGCCTCATGGTCAAAGGTTCCCCACCCCTGGAACAGAGGATTCTAGTTGGGATGTGAATAAAGCCAAATACTGTATAGTATAGTATAGTATAGTATAGCAGAGCTATAACTGCCCTCCCTTTGGACACTTTTTCTTTTTAACATAGCCAGAGATTGCATTCACTGTTTTACCTCCCATGTCACACTGTTGAATCATTTGGACCTTTTCACAGGGTGTGCTGCGGCTACTACTCCAGTGTGTTTAATCTTCAGCGAGTAGATTTCTGACTTGCAGCTGAAACCTCCTGTGTGCAGGCTCCCCCACTGCAATGTATGGTGCTCAGGAGCAAGGACTATCTTAGTTTTTTATTTGTATCACTAACATTTGGCACATAGTAAACGCTTATTTGTTCTTTCAGTTCTCTTACATAAATAGCAATTGCTGTTCTCTGTGAGAAGTTCTCATGCAGAAATCCAACTTCCATCCACTTCTGGCCTTTGCTGTAAATATTTCTGTGTATGTGGGACTTTCTTATCAATGGCCTCCTTGTGGTATAAGCCCTAGAATTTTGTCCTAGTTTCCTACTTCTCTGTCTCCATTGCAGTTTTTTAAGATGGAATGGTCATTTCCTCCCAAGATGTCTATCATTTAAATGTCAACAATTGGGTCTTCCTTGTTAGTCCTGTCTAGATTAGTAGTTAACCCTTGTTACATCCTCCATCTTTTGAAGAATGAAATTGATCATTAAAGTAAGTCAGGAGTTTGTCAGTTGTTCTGCTTTTAGTTGAGGGCTGACTTCAGCAAAAGTTAAGATAGCTCTTTGCATCCCCAGACGAGGGAATGGGTGTTTATTAAGCACTTGCTACGTACTAGGCACCGTGCTAAGTTCTGGGGAGACAACTACAAATGAAAAGAGTCTCTGCCCTCGAGGAGCTCTTGTTCTTACATGGGAACACAGCAAATAAAAGGGAGCTGAAAAGTTGGAGAGGAGGGGGAGAGAATGGAGATGGGGATGAACATGGCTGAATAGCGGTACGGTATTGAAGTTCAGAATGTCATATGCACAGGAGGGAGGAAAAGGAAGACTGACCAGCATGGGTCCCTCTCCAAAGTAAAGGCACCAGCTGGAACTCACTAATGAGAGAAGGGAGCTGGCATAGCAGATGCACGTTCCAGGGTGAGGAGGCCCCCAGTGCTGAGGGAAGGTACAGAGTAAAATGGTAGCAGGGACAGGTGTTGAAGTCTAGAAAGTCTAAAGCACATCCAGGAGGGAAATGAAAGTTGACTGACCTAGGCCTGTCTCCAACATAGAAGCTCCAAGAGCAACTTCTCAGTGTGAAAAAGGCAGTATAGTGCCATGTGCATCATTGTTGTTGCTCACTTGTGTCCAACTCTTCACGGCCCCGTGGACCTCTGTCCATGGGGTTTTCTTGCAGAGATACTGCAGTGGTATGGCATTTCCTTCTCCACTGGCAGACAGAGGTTAAACGACTTGGCCAAGGTCACAATCTAGGACGTTTCTGAGGCTGGATTTGAACTTGGGTCTTTTTGATTCTAAGCCTAGCATTTCATCCATTGCACCCCTAGCTGCATTATTAACCTAGCAGTTAGTAAATGTTGGTTGAATTGAATTGAATATTTAATGCCATATCATGACTATATCATGCTTCTGTTTCTACTTGCCCTTCTTTTTAGGAATAATAATGTTGAATTTCATTGTATTGCAAATGACTGATATGAAATCCTATTTTTCTCCTCTAGGACCTAGAGGAATTCTGCTTCCGATTTTGCATCAATCATTTGACTGTAGTTACACAAACTTCAGGCTTTGCAGAAATGGACCATGACCTTCTGAAGAGCTTCATCAGTAAGGCAAGCCGAGTTGGAGCCTTTAAAAATTGATCAATAGCTGCGGCCAAGAAAGGGACTCTAGTCCTTTCCAATTCCCATGCAAAAGCTTGAGAAGAACAGCTTTCACTTACTTAATGGCTTGATCAGTTATCCCTAGCAGAGTACGCATCTTCGGAGGACGGATGTGCAGTGGGAGTCGACTATTCTCCATCAGTTATCTGCCCGAGTCCAGCGTTTACATAGAAAGTTGAAAACGAGCAAATGCCGTCATTTCCACCCCAGTCCAAGCACTCCATATGTTACAGACCCTTTATGAGCTTTTCCGCTCTCCTTTTCAGATCACTTCAGACAGAACACCTTTATATTGGTTTTTGGCAACGACAGCCTCAGGTCATAAGATTTTGTGCAAGATGTTTCCTTTATTCTATAGGTCAACATCGTTCTGATGGCTTAACAGGGACAGAGATCCATTCACTTGAGGCCCAGAGTTTGGGTTCTGAAGACAGCTACTTCTGGGTCTCCATGATGAAGGAAAAAACAATACATAACAATTAGAAAACATGGTCTGTGTTTGAACAGTTACGGTCAAGAGTCAAGTTCCTCTGGTACAGTCTTTTAGAGACAATGACTAATTCTCTAACATTCATTAGCCTTCATAAAGGCCTTGTCATTGAAAGAATCAAAGGCCCAAGGGCTAACTTGACTATGTTGTTGTTTGATTTTTTTTTTAAACTGGATCATGAATTCCTCAGAAGGGGATATTAAATATGAAGCCTTGATTCTGAATGAATGTTATTCTGAGCTCATCTGCCTTACATATGACAAAAGGATCTTTTGTTTCTCTTTGGGTTGACAGAGATGTTCTTCCCTGCACAATGATGATTTTTGTCATGTATATTCCTTAAGGCTTTTGTGTTACTTTGAAACAGGTCAGTCATACTGGAACCAAAAATCAGACTTTTAATTTTAATGGCTAAAAAGGACCCAGTACTCATTTTTTATAGAGATGACTGACGAGATAGATTTTCAGATTCCAATTCAAATTAAGTTATCTAATTGCAGAATTGAAACCCGAATGGATCTCAACATCATATTATGTAAAGGGGAACATTTTAGAGTTAGAAATTGCATCTTCTACTGATCTAATATTGAATAAGGAAGTGCTTCTCTACACTACAGTAGAATAAGTGTTTTTTGCCCAAGAAGAGAAAAATGAAAAATACTAGCAGTCCCTTGCCTCTTACATTCAAATAAATCCATCTGGTGTATGATATTTGTGTTTTCTTTTTTAAAACAATTACTCCAGTAGCAGAGAGTTTCAGAGAAGCTGCGTGCTACAACGTACATGGCGTAACAAAAAGACTATAAGCACCATTCATTTTAGTATTAATGATCCCTCACCATCAATTTTGATGTCTTGATTTCTGCTTTTAAGCACAATATAGGTATACATACATACCCAGTATAAATATGTGAAACATGAGATGTGCAAATTTAGAGTTTCTCCACTCCAAATGTTTATATAGACTATTTGTGCCTGACCTGTTATAGAGCCTTCTGAGCTCATATTGGTCTGATTGTGGTGATGTCATTTTGGTCCTTTTTGAGAATGAAGGGGGCAGCTAGGTGGTACAGTGGATAGAGCACCGGCCCTGGAGTCAGGAGGACCTGAGTTCAAATCCAGCCTCAGACATATAATACTCACTGGCTGTGCGACCTTGGGCAAATCACTTAACCCCAACTGCCTCACCAAAAAAACAAAACAAAAAAAAGTTTCCATGAGAGTGAAGGACAGCAACCAACCATGTATGTGTGTGTATGTATGTTATGTGTGTATTATATTTATTTATATTATATATATAGTTATATATAACACACATGTATAATATATATTAATATATAATATATGTATATACAAATATATACATATATATATATACATATATATATATATTCTACACCCATGGGTGTGTATTAGTAACAGTTTTTAAGTATTAAAATCTTAAACTACACTCAAGACTTTTGGGATGGCCTTTATACATACACAAATACACGTACACGGATAGATCTCATTCTCTCATTTTGTTTGTTACATTATTGATGTATCAATTTACCTGGTTTTTATAAGTGATTTATAGGTCATTCACCAAAGAAACATTCGGATCTATGGGAATTGCCTTTTTTATATAAAGTAGCAGGTAGATAGGTCTCGTAGCCATTTACTATAGCTTCCACATTACGTCTCACTTTCCTGTGCCACTTAGGTCCAAAGAAGATGAAGCCAATTAGAAGGGCTCCAAATCTCTTCTTCTAACCTTTGTTTCATCCTAGTTATCGGTGCCACATTGCTAGAAGATTTGTTGTTCAGTCATTTCAGTTGTGTCTGACTCTTCATGACCCCTTTGGGGTTTTTCTTGGCAAAGATACTAGAGTGGTTTGCCATTTCCTTCTCCAGCTCATTTTACAGAGGAGGAAACAGAGTGAAGTGACTTGCCCAGGGTCACACAGCTAGTCAATGTCTAAGGCCGGATTTGAACTCACGAGGATGAGTCTTCCTGACTCTAGACCCAAAACTCTATCCACTGTGCCCCTTGGCCGATCTGGTAGAAGATAATCAGTGCTTTCTCTTATTGACCATTTCAAGTCAAAATAAGGACATTCGAAGGAGAACAAAGAGAAGCCAACTTTGATTTGCTCTTTGTCAGTATTCCTCTTAAAAGCTAATTGTAGGGGTGAGGGGAGGGAGAAGGTTGGGCAGGTCTTTACTGGAATATTTTAAAATACTACTTATCTCAGTGTGGTTTGTGGTGCTAGCTTGCAACACTATTACTTTGTGTGAAAGAGAATAGGTGCTTAATACATATTTACTGACTGATGGATAGCCAGGGCTGGAAAGCAAGAGTTTCCTTTAAGTTTTTTAATAGACATAAATCCTGTTGATCATGAGAACTAGATGACCTTAAAAGTCTCTTCCAGTCTACACCACCCAATTTTAAGAAACCATGTAACTTTTAACAACTATGGAAAAGGAAAGATTCAGATTGATGAGTTGAGGCTTCTGGAGAAAATCAACGGATCTTTCTGCCCTCTTTTCCCTTGGATTTTTCTACCTCTAAGTGTTTCTTTCCACACAGAAACGTCAATTTTTCGGTTGGGCTGGTCCTTTAAGAGGCCAGGGAAGCGGGGGGGAGCAAGTTGTAGGCAATAGAGATTTCCTGGTTTTGCATATGTCTGTTTTATTTTGTATATGGAAATAATTCTTTCTTTTTTAGGGAGGAGTTGATTAAATTGACATTTAAAACATTAAAAAGAAGAAAAAGCAGATCAAAAAAGGAGGGTGGAGGATAGGGAGGCCATTTTGGGATTAGAACCTCCACTTTCTTTTTTTCTTTTTAAACTCACAACTGTTTCATGGTTAAATTCATTTTTTCAGTGGGGCAAGATATCTTGGAAGAAAAGAAAGGAAACAAACATTAAGCAACTACTATGTGCCAGGCATTTCTGCTTTACAAATATTATCTCATTCAATCCTCACAAAAACCTGGGAGGTAGGTGCTATTATTCTTATTATTCTTATTATTATCATCATTATTTTACAGTTAAGGAAACTGAGGCAGACAGGTTGAGTGACTTACCCAGGATCACACAGCTAGTGTATGAGGTCACATTTGAACTCAGGTTTTCCTGATCCCCTGCCTGGTACTCTATTCACTGCACCACCTGGTTACTTATGACAGATCCCTGGGTAAAGTTAAAAACCAAATTTTATTTCCCAGTGACAGAAGCATTATTTAAGATATATAGGGAAACAAACCCTTTTTTTGGAATAAAGAGAAAGTACCCATTGATCCTGTGGGTTGGTGTAATACCTTTTTGAACAACTGGAAACCAAAAATTATTCCCTGACTCCTGTTAACTGTACTTGAAAGGTTGGGTTGCCAAGATAAGGAAAATAAAAGTTAATTATCCTTTTTCTTTAGGCAACTAGAGGAAGAGATAAATGAGATTTTAATCTTTAAACAATGTGCTTTGATCACAGAGGACCTTTTAACAGATTTTTTGAATGGGGTTAAATGCTAATGGATACAGGCACTAAAATTCTACAGGTGGAAAGCATGCTTTCTGACCCACACCTTGCTATGGACAGTGCCTCGAGCTCTGTAGAAATTAAGGCTATAAAATCATTAATGGGCATTAGAGCAGGTGGTTGAAAAATTCCTCAGGCCTACACTATTACTCTCCCCATCCCCCATACTACTTTCTGGGGAGGAGAGTGATTTCCAGTAATGGGAAGTCAGAGAGCGGCAGGGCTTTCAAATTTAAGGAGCTTATGGAGTAGCAAGAGGAAGGCAAACAGCAAGCTGATGGATCCCTACAATAATGCCTCATGAAGGCATGGTTTGATGGGGGTGACAATATAAATTGCAGAATTCCATCTACTGGGAGAGGTTAAAGATGATTCTGTTTTGCAAAATCAGTTGAATTAATGAGGCCTCTGATAGGAATTTTCTTTGTCACTTTTCAGGTAGAGAAAATGGGGAGTTCTCCCTATTCTGATCCATAAAGATGCATATTCCCTCTTCTCAAACCCCCCTCCCCCCTCTTCCTCCCATATTAGGTGATGGGAGTGTGATGTTACTTTCTCATGTAAACAACTTTGGGTATGGCTTTTAAAAAGTGTGGATAATTACAGTTGATGATCAACCTGTATTGTATTAGGACATCTGGGGCCAGGGTAGTAAGGGTCATTCTCTGACAACACTAAGGGTATCCCTGAAAGCCTCTTCCTTACATGTCAGTTTGTCAATAAACATTAAGTGCCTATCGTGTGTGGCACTGTGTAGATGCTCATTGCTACTGGCTCATTACTCATTTACTGGCTGTAAAGAAGCCTCGAAGTCTTTGTGTTCAGGTTGAGGGACTTTTGGAATGTGTACCCCTAGGGTAAAAGCCAAGGTTCCTCTGAGGCTCAGGCTGTTTTTTCATTAGGACCATGGAGGCAAGGGTTTAGTGGGTCAGGGAGACAGGGAAAAAAGAGGCTATTTGCCTGAGTCCCTGTAGCTTGGAAAGGGGTAGGGCAGGGTGGGGCAAACATACAAGGTTGCTAAATATTGTCAGCCAGGTTACTAGTATACCAGTTGTAACTCAGTGGCTTCATAGGGACACCCCAATGTCTATTGGGGTGTTTAAGGGGCAAACCACTAAGGGGAGGAACACCGTTGGCTCAGGTGGAGGTGAGTGGAAGACCTGAGTCTCACTTGTGGTGATCAACTAAGAGGAATCTATTATGGCCATAGACATCCTAAGTCCTTGGGAGTCAGTACTGCATTGACACTTGCAGTAGTCTCTTTGCCTGGGTAGGGAGGGCTAAACGGAAGTTCTTGGAGATGCTAGAACTATTCTGTGTAGTAAATGTTAAAGTAAGGTCCCAGAGTGGGACAAAAGATTTCCTGCTTAGTGGGGGAGATGAAGGCAGCTGGAGTATTTTGTTATATAGCCATTCCTGACCTTGTTAGCTTGGTAGACCAGGTAGCCAAAGTGCTATGTCTGTGGTGTGGGCTTATTGTGCTTCCTAGTACCATTTATGTAGCTGACACCATTCAGAAACAATTTGCTTTTACTTGAGAAGGAGTTCAGTATACTTTAACTATTTTTTTTCTAAGACAGCTCATTTTTTAAAAATAAATTTATTTATTTTTAGTTTTCAACATTTACTTCCACAAGATTTTGAGTTCCAAATTTTCACCCCATCTCACCCCTCCCCCCACCCCAAGATGGCATGTGTTCTGAATACGTCTCCCCCTAGTCTGCCTTCCCTTCTATCTCTACCCCCCTTCTCTTATCCCATTCCCCTTCTATTTTCCTGTAGGGCAGGATAGACTTCTGTACCCCATTTCCTGTGTTTCTTATTTCCCAGTTGCATGTGAAAACTTTTTTGCTAAACATGTGTTTTTAAAACTTTGGGTTCCAAATTTTCTCTCTTCCTCCCTCCCCACCCACCCTCATTGAAAAGGCAAGCAACTCAATATAGGCTATACATGTGCAGTTCTGCAAAACACTTCCATAGGAGACATGCTGTGAAAAACTAACTCTATTTCCCTTAATCCTATCCTGCCCCCCCCCCATTTATTCTATTCTTTCTTTTGACCCTGTCCTTCCTCAGAAGTATTTGTTTCTGATTACTCCCTTTCCCAATCTTTTCTCCTATCATCCCCCTACTCTCTTATCCCCTTCCCCCCCCCATTTTCCTGTAGGGTAAGACAGGTTTCCATACCCAATTGAGTGTGTATGTTATTCCCTCCTTAAGTCAAATCCTATGAGAATAAGATTCACTCATTCCCTCTCACCTTCCCCTGTTTCCCCTTTACTGTAAGTCTTTTCTTTTCTGTTTTTTTTGTAAGATAATTTACCCCATTCTACCTCTCCCTTTCTCCTTCTCCTAGTATAATCCTCTCATCCCTTAATTTTATTCTCCAGATCAACTCACCCTGTGCCCTCTATCTATCTATCTATCTATCCATCTATCTATCTATATACATACATATAATTTTTTCCCTCCAACTACCCTAATACTGACAAAGGTCTCATGAATTACAAATATCATCTTTCCATGCAGGAATGTAAACAGTTCAACCTTAATAAGTCTCTTATGATTTCTTTTTCCTGTTTACCTCTTCATCCTTCCCAGTCCCCGACCAAATGTCTGACCTCTTCTTCCAGCCAAATGTGCCACTGCCTATGAGGATCTACCTGTTGAGGAGTGTTGTTCTGCTTGTTTCACTGCAAGCCATGAGAAAGGTCTATATAATTGGACCCCAGCAGCTATTAGTCTGGTAACCAGGGACACCTTAATGGTTGGGGTCCTGGCAAGACCTTCCAGTGGGCCAAGTTGCATGACTTGAGGGAAGAGCAGACAACATTTTTATTTATACTGATTCCTGGGCAATGGCTATAGATTTGGTTGAGTAGTCTGGGACCTGGAGGGAACAGAATTCCATAATTAAAGGTCAGAACTGATAGAATTTTTTGTTGCCTCCCACCATATATGATTGTAAGGCTTCCAGCTGTGGCCCCACAGCTATAATAATGGGGAAGGGATCTACCTTGCTCTTTGCTCTCAATGGACCTAGGGCATATCAGTGTTCCTCAGACTCCTGGTCCTTCTTCCAGACCGGTCCCACAGTTATTACTTAAGAAAGCAACTCCTGCGGAGAAGAGGCCAGCCACTCCTACCTACTGACACCCAGAAGGCAGACAAGCCAGCCTAGCTGAACAGCAAGACAACCAGAGGGAGAGAAAGGAGGGAGCGTGTGCCAGGCCATTCCAATCACCACATTTAGCTTGACCATCTCTACTCCTCAGATACCAGTGGAGATTGCCTAAGAGCCCAATCTTAAAAGCTTTGGGAATAGCAATTCGCCCTTCCTCCCCTCCCCGCTCACTGCAGGCTCTGTTTTTAGCCTGGGCAGCCATTATTAAGGGGACATGGTGGAGAAGAGGCCCACCTTCTTTGCTAGCTGCCACCAGTGGGCAGGGAAGCCCAAGAATCCTAGTTGGCCTGGCTATTGCTTCTGCAGGTGTAGGAGCCCAGCTTCCTTGGCAGCCATGGCTACTAATGGCCCAGAGAAGAAAGGTGTTAGCACTAAAACCCTTGGCACCATCAGAATGCTCAACACCACCTTTGTTGATTTTGTCAGTGGAAGAGGAATTACCATCTGCTTTGCTGTAGCACTATAAGGTCCACTGGACTTTTACATCTGACCTGCAGCTGAAGTCTTCCATATGTGTTGTCTCCCCAGCCAGAACTCCTTGAGGGCAGGGACTGTCGGGACTTTTCTGTATGTCATCCCCAGCTATTAGCATATGGTATTGTGCACATAGTAAGTACCTGATACTTTTTCCTTTTCTCCTTCACTCATATTAGGGTCTATAAGAAGTATCATGTATCTTTTTTGTGTGTGTCATGGACCCCTTTGCCAGTCTGGTAATGACCTCCCTTTCTCTCAGAATAATGTCTGTTGTCTACATTCATAATTTAAGTAAAAGCTAAATTTCAATAAGAGGTTAATGAAAACTAAGATGTAAATCTTTTCATAACTAATTTTACACAGCCCCTGAAATCTATCCAAGGATCCCTTGGAGGGGGTGGGTGGTCTGTGGACCCAAATTAAGAAACCTGCTCTGTACACTAATCTCAAGTATCCTCCTTAGAAGGATCATAGAATCATAGATTTAGAAGAGACCTTAGAGGTCATCAGACCTAACTAACCCCATCATTTTACATATGAGGAAACTGAGCCCTAGGGATATGAAGTCACTTGTTCAAAGTCATACTGGTACTAAGTGGCAGTGCCAGAATTTGAGCCCAGGGCCCCTGACTCCAAATCTGTTGGTCAGTATGATGTCATTCCATGTAGTGTTTGATCTACCTCTGTTGATTGACCAATTGATTATACCGACCCTTGTTCTCTATCATAAGGCAAGAGATTTGCCCTCACTGCAGGTAATTCCTATTCAAGGTATGGGATGCCAATTAAGTCTGCTACTGAAAAACAAACTATTTGTTCAGGCCCTTACAGAATACATCCTTCTTTCCTAGGGTTCTCCTTGTACAATCACCTCTAATCAAGACACCCATTTTACTTTGAAGAATGGTTGGAATCGGGTAGGTTGCTTTTTGTTTTTGTCCATATTTTATGTCATCCTCATACAGCTGGTATCACGGACCATTGGAATAGACTTCAAAAACAACAGCTTTGCTATCACAGCCCTGAGTATCTGGGAGGGGGTTCCCATTTCCTAGGATCCTTTATGTGATAAATCAGCACTTCAGTCCCAACAGTGTTTTGGATCCAACTATTGGGAGGACTCTCTTAATCCAAACAGATTACTGATGGATATAGTCCCAGTTGCTCCTTACCAGATCTTCTTCTCTCTATCCTTTGTGCAGGGTTACCCGGGCCTCAAGGTTCCCACCCTCTCAGAGGGTTCTCTCCAGCCAGGGGAAACAGTTCAAGGTCACAAGTTTCTTTCCTCCTAGAACAGTTCGGACAGCTCCTTCCCAGAAAGAATTTGGGGGACCAAAGGGTGGAATTGTTATGAGGGACTTCATTTTTCAATTATGTTGGGGAGATGAAACTGTCTTTTTACAACAACAATGAAAGAGAGTTTATTTTGATAAAGAGGTCCCTTAAGTTTATCTGAATGAATGAAAAAAAGCATTGTACTAAGCAATGAGACTGTCCCTATTACCTAGCCATAATCTTGGGCACTTGGATAAAAGAGAAAGGAAGTCTTCAACAGCACTCCCTCCCCATCCCCAAAGTGAGGTAGTCTCTCAGAAGACACCTCTGAAAGGGCCAAACTTTGGTATTCTTTTGATGAGAGGGGGAGAGTCTGGCTGATGTGCCAAAGAATACCGAATGGTGGCAACACAAAGTTAATCTGGGTTATCAGTTTAGTCCTGGGATGGGTTGCATTCAGTAGGTTTGTGACCTTTTACCCATTTTAATTCAGATGTTCCAGACCTATGACAAGGACCAGTGACAACAGATCTGTTATTTTATTCAGTGGACCCGATGGTTTTGCTCCTGGCCATCATGACTTTTTTTTTAAGCCCAGAAGACTTTTATAAACTGCTCCTGACTTTACTCCTCAACTGTCTTTTTTAAAAAGACTTTTGTGTATTGTTCTATGTTCTTAAATCTGTGTTAAATTCCTCCTGCTTATGCTAGGGTTGATTTAGGATTATTTTAGGGACTTTAATACCAAGGGGTAGGATATAATGGGATCAACTTGTATTTTATACAGGTTGGGACAGACTTTTAAGAAGGCAGGAAGACCATTTTGCTTTCTTGTAGCATAAAAGACCAGCCCAAGCAGGCTTAAGGTTAAAACCTTCACCTTACCATTCATCTCCTTTCCGTTGTCATTCTGTCAAAATTAATGCTTCAGTGTAAAACTAAAAAATAGTATTGTGATGTTAAGGTTGATCTTGATCACAATTAAAAGTTGTTCCATCAAAAATAATGAAATGAAAATGATAATAGTAGTTAGCATTTATATAGTATTTTAAAGTTTACAAAATGCTTTACAAATATCTCATTTTATCTTCACATCGACTCTGGGAAGTAGGTGCTATTATTATCATCCCCATTTTACAGTTGAGGGAACTAAAACAGAGGTTGAGTGACTTGTCCAGGATCATATAATTGCTAGTGTCTGAGGCAGGATTTAAACTCAGGTTTTCCTGACTCCAGGTCCAGGGCTCTATCAAGTATATAACCTAGCTTGCCTCTGCCACAAGTGTATCAGACTTCAAGCCTATAAAAGTTTCTCTTCTTTACTCATTTATCTGCTCTTATGTCTTAATTTCAGAGACAAATGATCTTTTTTTTTTTTAAGGAAAGACAATACCATTTACATTATACAATCAGACATCTCTACTTGCATAAGTTCAAGATAACAACAAACTAAGAAATGGGCCAAGATAAAAAATCTTCAATTCAAATTTTACGATTAGGGTCTATTAAAATTAAGGTGCTTTCATGTTCTCAAATGATGGCAAAAGCTGGGTTAATAACTCCAGGAAAAAGTTTAGAAATTAAAAATTCTAATTCTGAGAATTAGAAATTTTCTTTCATTTCATATAATAAAAAATACTTTTATCACTTTATCTGGATATTATATATATACCCATACACACATTTATAGAACACTAAAGAGAACACTATGAAGTCTCAATAGCTATTTTATTTTTAAAGGAGCTAGTAATTATAGAAAATAGCAACATACACTTTTAAATGTACACTCTTTCATCCATATGAACAAAAACGTATCAAGCCATCAATAAGACATAACTGGTGGCCCATTTAGGAATTGTACACCTTTTAAGTTCCTATATCCTTAGCATTAATCCCAATGTAAATATAGCAAAAGTATATGGTAAGTCTTTGACTTACAAGATAAAATGGTCTTCATGAAATCCATGTAAAAATGAGGCAACTGAGTATATACTAATGCTTTTGTAAGTATATCAGGAAAATGGTCAAATATAACATGAAAATTTAAAATTTAATCGACCATGAAATAAAATTTCATTTCCTAACAAATAGCTCCAAATCAGGGTAAGTGAATTAAAAAAAAAAAGGCTCAGAGTGTATGTGTATATATGTGTGTGTATACATATATATATATATATGTATATACACACACACTCACACACACACACACACACTGACTAAAAGTGATTTCTGTCAAAAGCTAAATGAAGCTAACCTTAAATATGACCTATTTTTAATTCTCTTCTTTCTAAATAAGTTACTCACACAACATATTTTAAATACACCTTTGGGTGCCCCAAAAAGCACTTTTCTCACAAATTGTAGATGCTTCGAATTGGAGCAGCTGCATAAAGTTCACCATACATGAATGTCTAACCCTCAAAAGGCTATCCCCCAAGATCATCTTTTTAGCTGTAATTTTAGGATGAAAGCATGTTTTGTAAAATGCAAGGATGTGTTAGGCTATGCTGGTTTACAAAAAGAATAGCTGTCTTAAAAGATGAAAATCTAAAGCATGGATGAAGTTTCTAGAGAATACTTAAACCTTCCTCATTTGAAACTGGATGGAAGAACAATTATCACATGACCCTTTGTTTAGTCAGACCTCTCAGAAACATAAAGCTGGAGCTTCCTGTGGCTAGCAGTGTCATCAGCATCTGTAGTACATTTCATTTCTGTCGTGATTCTTTAGGATCCAGGATAAGATTAAAAGTGCACATGGACTCTATTGGGGGCATAGTACGACACAAGGCCCTTTTAAGGTACTCAGACTGGTACTTTATATATTCAGTAATTTGGTTGGTATAAAAACCAATAATGTCACATGCCCAGATTTCAAACTTAAGTACAATGGAGGAGAGAAGCAAGAAAAAATGTTTCCCTGGAGCTGAGGTATGGAACCTAAATCAGTAGTACAGCAGCATCAGGAGTTTATACTTTGCTTTCTGCTTGTACTTATATTACAGGATCTGCAAAATAAACAAACGGTGAGTGTATCAAATTCCAAGAGTAAAATAAAATGTATAGAAAAATCAGTATTTTTTTTTCCAATTTTCAATATCTATTTCAGCTGAAGAGTTCAGGATAACAAAAAATGTATGGGCAATCAACCAACTTGCATTTGGAAGGTGGGAAAATCTTCCCAAGTGTGCTCACATTAAATTAAAAAATACATAAATTAACAGAAGTGGCATACATCACACACATGCTACATCATAAGGCATAGTATTCAGAAGGATAATGATGGGTGTGTCTGCATTGTCTTTATGCTCAATCTGCAAAGCACAACATTTTCTTTATATGTTAGAAATTGAAAACAATCTGCCTCAACTTTAAAGTGGCAATATTTGCATAAGACACTACATCTTGTACAAAAGCACTGTACATATTATGACAACACTGTAAATAACTCAGGGGTCTCACACAAATGCATGCCCCTAAAAGATCCCCGCCTCAATCTGAAAGCTATATTTATACTACATATGGTAGTAAATAGAAACCGGACACAGTGTGTGCTGTTCGGTAAAGGAAAGGCAATGAACGAAGACAAGAGGTGTATACAGTGCTGAGCAAGGTCCTGAGAAGATTTTCACTTTTCCTCCTTGCTTGAGGTATCCATGCTATCGTTCATTTTCTGCTTTTGCATTCTTGTACGAGTAGATGCTAAAGAAAAATACAACAAAACCCATTAAGAATGTTAACAGTCAGTCTGTTCGATAGGGATTAGAGCAATATAATATGGATTCATATTGGACCTAACCCAACAAAGTACAAAAGCCTAAAGATTTTGTTATACAAATATCTTGTTATACAAATTTCAGAACTCCCTAGCTCATCTATGTCTCTTAGATGAATCCTAGAAAGTTGCTTGAGACCCATACAAGTTAAATCACCTGTCCAAGGTCACATAGCTCCTAAGAGTTAGAAGTGGGTTTCAAACCCAAGTTCTTCCTGACTCTGAGCCTTACTTACTGAACTCTAACCACTATACCACAGCTGTTTCTATTTGTTTCTAAGGAAACAAATACAGGAGTAAATAGACTTTAAAAATAACCACTATGTATTTATCACACAGTGAGGCAGCACTAGAAGTAAAAATATACTACTGTCTTAAATTGTTACACTGTATTTAAAGTATGCAGTGTAATAAAATAATAGAGAATGCTAAAACTCAGACCAAATTACTGTGTGTGTGTGTGTGTGTGTGTGTGTGTCTGTGTATGTCTATGTCAGAGACTCTCCTCTGTTAGAGAACCACATACTAACTGGCCCTCCAAGCCTCACGTCCTAAACCACAGCTCCTGGCTTCTTAGAACCACCAGGTTTGACCTGAGATCACCCTGAGCAGGGTGAGCTCCTCGGGCTGGTCCTGACTATCTCTGCCCTCCTAACATCGGAATCAATTCTACAAAGTTATGGTTGGCTGTTCTTTGGAGATGAAACTACTTTCCCAGGATAGCAAAGGTGGCTGTTACCTCACAAAGGGTTATTTCAATCCAGTAATTGAAACAGTAAAAGAAAACAGCTGAAAATATCAACAGTTAGTTAAAAATTCTTCTTAATTGCTTGATTACTTAGTTTTGGTTCTTCTGGAAAAGTAAGTAAAGTGGATTGGTCACAGTTTAGTGGAGGTCTTTTTCTCTCTGGGGCCTCAGCATCGTGTGATCACCTTTTTTGGGATTCACAGGGTTTGAGGAGTCTGAAGAATCACACATAATCACAGGAGTTTCTGAGCCTCAGGGGTTAAGCCTGCCTCTTGGGTAGAATTATTCAGCTGCTTAGTTAGTCAGCACAAAGGCTTTGGACACTGTCCTAAAGAGAGAAGCTTGGTACACATTTCTAAATGGGCCACCAGGAAATGAATTCACTATAGCAACTTAGTTCTACTTGCAAAACACATACAGACTTTCCCAGAGAACTTTTTGTTTTTAACTATAAGTGTGTAACCTCCAAAATTCATCACATGTTGGTAAATTGTATATTTATTAAATGGCCTCAGATCTATCTTTATTATTTTTTTTAAAAACAGGAACTATTTGAGGGCAGCTAGTAGGTACAGTGGATAGAGTGCCAGGCCTGAAGTCAGGAAGACTCATCTTTCTGAATTCAAATCTAGCCTCAGACACTTACTAGCTGTGTGACACTTGGCAAGTTATTTAACCTGGTTTGCCTCAGTTTCCTCATGAGTAAATATAAGCTGGAGTAAGAAATGCCAAACCATTCTATCTTTGCCAAGAAAACCTCAAATGGGGTCACGAAGAGTCAGATATTTCTGAAAAACAACTGAACAACAACATTTGAGAGTTAAAATTCTTAAAGTGTGAGTCAATGCAAAATACCAAAAGAGATAAAAAACTTAGAAAATGTATAAAAGGGGACAATTTCAGAAAAATGAAGGATGACTTCTGGGAAATGATACAGTGTAAACTGAGCAAAACCAGGAGAACAATTTATACAATAACAATATAAAGACAAACTACTCTGAAAGATTTAGGAACTCTGGTCAATGCTATAACCAATAAAAATTTCAGAGGACTCATGATGAAACATGGTACCCACATCCTGACAGAAAGGTGAGGGATTCAGAATGCAACTTGAGACACAGTTTTTTGCACATATACAACGAATTAATTTGTTTTGTTTGACTGTACATATTTGTAACTAGAGTTTTGCTTTTCTCCACTGAAATGGGAGTAGAGAGGAGATGGGGGGGAGGGGGGGAGGATTTTCACTGATTAGAAAAAATTGAATTAAAGAAAAAAAGAAAGTGCATAGAATAATGATCACTTTTCTCCTACAAGTAGTATACCTCACTGTTCACAATAGATACAATTCAGCAAAACTGTGTCAAAATAAAATTTTTATAAGTTGGATATGATTTTAAGTATAGTAGGATGAATTCCCTTGTATGAGCAATTTCATAATGAACATTTTCATAAAGAGAAGGGTCAAGGGCAGCTAGGTGGCACAGTGGATAGAGCTGTGGCCTTGGAGTCAGGAGGACCTGAGTTCAAATCCAGTCTCACACACACAATACATGACACTTACTAGTTGTGTGACCCTGGGCAAGTCACTTAACCCCGATTGCCTAGCAAAAAGCAAAAAAAAAAGGGGGAGGGTCCTTTTACAACTTGGGTTGCCTGGAACTCTCCTTTGCCACTATCATAAGTATGTGTCAAATATTCCTTGATCACAGTAGACTGTAAACTCCTTGAGGACAAGTGTCATTTTTTCCAAATCTCTTTATCTCCTGAACCTAGCACAGTAGGTGCTTAATAGATGTCTGCTGAAGCACCCTTTAATTTTTCTTTTTAAATGTGTGAATTTCCACAAGTCAGCTTTTCTAATTTCTATTTGCATCTCAATTGCTAAAATTACTATACGGTTGTATCTCTTAAGCATCCACAAAGAAATTACATATACTTACTCATTTCTGCAAGTTTTTGTTGAAATTTGGATTCCCCAGGGAGATGTTTACTATAGGGAAAAGAAGCAAAATATGTTGCCTGAGTAATATACTATTATTGTGTATATATGTGTGCACATTTATAATAGATCACATTTATATAGTGCTTTCTAATTATAGAAAGTAGTTTAAAAACATCATCTCATTTGATCCTTACAATAACCCTATGGTGTTGGGAGATAGGGTGATATGCCCAAGATCACAGAGAAAGCCAAGGGCAGACAAGGTCTCAAATTTCTAGACTTCTTATTCTTACCCCAGTACTATCACACTCCATTATCTATAGTTTTAACCATTTATTTGATGCTATTACTTTAGTGTACTGATTAATTTTATAAGCTTATGGAAGTGAAACAAATATACATGTTTCCCAAATTATGGTGCTACATAATTTTTTCTAGCAATTTTCATTAAAATACTAATTCAGCTTTCTCAAAATTAAAGGGCTTTATTGTTTAATGATAATGAACTGCTGTAAAATTAGAGTAGCATTATAATAGCTATTATTAAATATCCTGTTTCTCCAATAAAATGTGGTAAAAAGTGATGACACTATTTGTAATATTTCAACATTTCAAAGCTCTTTCATCTGTAATCCCATTTAATCCTACAACAATCCTATGAAATAACAGTAGGGCTATTTTCTCATTAGATAGAAGAGGAAACTGAGGCACAGAAAAGGTAAGGGCCTTTAAACTAAAATTAGTCAATAGCACTGCCTAGAATGCAGGCTCCCCTGATTCTCAGCCTCTGTAGCAGACATTTAGAATGCAGCAGGGTAAATCTAATAGAAAAGTACATACCTTCCATCTGCTTCATCCGATCCTTCAATATCAAAGCGTAGTTTTTTAAGTGGTTTTGGAGGGTTGCTTCCTTCAGCACTTCTCTTGAGCAAACGGTCACTGCTACATACCATCTGGTTTATTTTCTGAAACTTCTCTGAAGTCTAGAAATTACAAAATTACTAAATGGTTTATTCATTTAAAACCAAAGGAATCCTGACTTTTTTTTTTAGCACTTCTCAAGGCAGCAAAGTTATACCTGCAGCAAAGCATGAAACAAATTCAACTGTTCACCTTGAAAAAATAATCAGAAAGTATCTAAATATTTTAATTTACTATTATCTTGCCAACTGATCAATGTGAAAAGCTTGTCAAAGTTAGGGCATATATTATATGCAACTGCAGCTCATCACTCTTACTTTTATTTCTCATCTCTACACTATCATTCCCCATGAAGTTCCTGCTTTGCTTTAGCTTCACCAGTTTTAAACATTTCCCGAGATTCTCCGGCTCCATACTTTCTTGGAATCTTTCCTCATGGTTGTCCTGAAAAACAAGATGTGCCCCTAACCTGATGGTGTGCAGTATGGACTTAAGCTTAAGAAGCTATAACTAACTGTCTAGTCTTAAGTATAGATCACAGACTTTATTGTCATTATATAGTTATCTGATCAATCACTCGATCACATTTATTAAGCTCCTACTATGTGCCAGGTTCTGTGCTAAGGAGTTGGGAATATAAAAATATAAACTGCTCGATCTAATGGCCTCTTCACAATTCTCATCCTTGTTGACCTCTCTGAGGCCTTTCTCCGAGAAACTTGCTATAAATTTTCCCATTTCTTGTTTTTCTTCTCATTTTGGCTGCACTGATTTTGTTTGTGCAAAAACTAATTAATTTTTTGTAATCAAAATTATTCACTTTACTTCCCATCAGCCTATCTTGTTTGATCATAAACTCCTTATCCATAGAACTGACAGGTAAAATTTTCCATGCTTCTGTTAATTTGCTTAGGATATCACCTTTTATATCACCCTTATCTTGATATACGGTGTGAAGGGTTGGTCTATGCCTAGTTTCTGTCACGTTGTTTCCCAGTTTTTTCCAGTAATTTTTGTCAGATGGGGAGTTCTTGCCTCCAAAGCTCAGATCTTTGCACTTATCAAACACTAGATTACTATAGTCATTTACTACTATGTATTGTGTAGCTAATTTATTCCACTGATCCAGCACTCAATTTTTTGACAAGTATCAGATTGTTTTGATGATTACCACTTATAGTTTGAAATCTGGTATTGCTAAGCCACCTTCCTTCACCTATTTTTTTTCTCACTGATTCTTTTCATATTTTTGACCTTTTGTTCTTCCAGGTGACTGTTATTTTTTCTAGCTCTATAAAGTAATTTTTTGCTAGTCTGATTGGTATGGTACTGAATAAGTAAATTAACTTAGGTAGAATTGTCATTTTTATTATGTTGGCTCAGCCTACTCTTGAGCAATGAATATTTCTCTAATTGTTTAGATCCATCTTTATTTGTGTGAAAAGTGTTTTGTAACTGTGTTCAAACAGTTTCTGGGTTTGTCCTTGGCAGGAAGACTACTAATTATTTTATGCTGTCTGCATTTCTTTTAAGTGAAATTTCTATGTCTCTGAAGACTCATCTTCCTGACTTCAAATCTGGCCTCAGATGAAACTAGCTGTGTGACCCTGGGCAAGTCACTTAATCCTGCTTGCCTCAGTTCCTCATCTGTAAAATGAGCTGGAGAAGGAAATGGCAAACTTTTGCCAAGAAAATGTCCAAATGGGGTCACAAAGAGTCTGACAAGACTGAAACAACAACAAAGATAGCTCAGCTACCTCCCTATCACTACAGTGATAGCAGTAGTTCCTTTTATCTCTTTTCCCTGCTTTGCCCTATCTATTTCAGCTATTTAGATATCTATTAAAACTAAATGCAGACTATCTGATAAACTCTTAACTTGCCTCAAGAGTAATTTATTTCTTCAAAAAGTAGAGAAAGCTACAATGGGGAATTTTATTCTGAACCTGATTCTGATCAACAATGGAGAACTGCTTGGTGAAGTGAAAACTCAAGAACCCTGTTAGGAAATGACCAGGCTTCTTTAAGTTTATAGCAAATATTAACATATATGCCAGGAATAGTCTGATTAGTATCCTGTGCCTTAGAAGTGCAGATTTCAAAGAGTTCAGAGACAGAACAGATAGTATGCCATAGCATGAGACTCTAAAAAGGAAATCAACTTAAGAGGCCTAGAGGTCTCTCAAGAACAAAATTCTGGGGACAATCCCCACTGATCCCTTAGTAGAGAGACTTTCCTTCCCACACGCTATATCCTAGCCATTGACCTCATCCTATTTCCTCCTCCTGATAGGCATTCATGACAAGTTTTTATCTACTTAAAACTTTCTCTTCCTTCAAGAACTAACTCAGATGTTTTCTCCTTCACAAAGCCCTCCCCTCCTCAAATTTTCATAGTCCTCTGTCTCTATTTTTCCTTTACACTCATATTCTACCTTATATTACATGTATAAACATGGCTTCTTTTCTCTATTAAATTACAAACTCTTTGAGGTCCAGGACTATTTATATTGTCTATCACCAGAACCTGACCCAACACATTTTACATAGTAGGGTCTTAATAATCATTTGATGAATGAGAAAAAGAGAAGATAGGACTACAGAGACTGATATTATTAAACCAGGAGCTCAGTGATGAACTTAAATTTTAAAAGGATTGACACAAGATGTGAAAATGAAGAGGAAACTGATGAATCAAAGAAAGTTGATTAATGAATCCGTGTCACCCTGGACAATGTTCTGTAGTGAAATGTGGTTCTGTTCTATTCTAACATTTTTATTAATAATTAATAACATGAGCTATAATGAATACATAATATTAATATAAGAGTGGCAAGATCCTCTAACAATAGTATCAGGAAGACTTAAAGACCAATGTGAGCTAAGGTTTGTGATAAATGCTAACGACAACAAAAAAGGCCCTTTAACTTATGCTGGAATCTTTTAAAGTATGTTTCTTTCTTTCTTTCTTTTTTTTTTTTTTTTAGGCAATTAGGGTTAAGTGACTTGCCGAGGGTCACACAGCTAGTTAAATGTCAAGTGTTTGATCTGAGGCCCGATTTGAACTCAGGTACTCCTGACTTCAGGGCTGGTTCTCTATCCACTGCGCCACCTGGCTGCCCCTAAAGTATGTTTCTTTATGGAAAGGAAAGGAAAGAATTCCTGCTTGGCATAGATGGAAAGATGGGAACAGATAACTAAGAAAAAGCAGAACTACTCAACTCTTTTTTTGCTTCTGTTTTCTCTACTTTGGAGAATGATATTCATGATGGGAAAAATAGAAAAAAAAAAAGTGATTAACAGAGAACTGAAAAACCAATATCAATGGGGAGATAGTAAAATGCACCCAGGAACTTTCAAGAAACTCAACAGACTCATATGAACTATATTCTAGGATATTATAAGTAGATATAATTGTTGAACCACCTTGATATTTTTTAAAAAAAACATGGTGAAAGAAAGAAATGTGGTGTTACAATACTGGAAGTAGCTGAACACTATCCTAATTTTTTAAAAGGCAAAGAAAATCAATACTTTTAGAATACAGACTGATAAGTCTGATTTCAATTCCTGGTAAGAATACATTGTAGAATAGATCATATTAAAGCAACAATTTGTGAGTAATTAAAAAGAAATTATCACTAGGAGCCAGAACAGGTTTACTAAGAATAATCATGCTTAAATAACCTACTTTACTTTTTTGACAGGATTACTTGACTATTATATTAAAGGAATGTGATGGATGCACTTTAGGAAGGCATTTAATAAAGTCTCTCCAATATCACTGTGAACAAGATGGACAGATATATACTTAGGTAGTTTTGGAACTGGTTGACCAGTTTGAAGCAAAGAATGCTGATTAATGAATCCATGTCAACCTGGAGGGAATTCTGTAGTAGTGTTGCAGAGATCTGTCCTTGGTCCTTTTCTTTTCAACATTTTAAATAATGATTTGGGTAGAACCACACACAGAATGCTGAATAGATTTATGGATTCAACAATTCAATTCAATAAACATCTATCAAGTACCTACTATATGCAATGCTCTGTACTAGATACTAGGGAAATAAAGATAAAAACAGAATAGTTCCTGCCCTTCAGAAACTCACCATCTACAGAGGAGACATAATATGTAAAGAGATAAGTAAATACAAAATATATACAAAGCAATACAAAATGCTTTAAAGAGAACTAACAACTTGGGTGATCAGGAAAGGCCCTGTAAAAGACACAGTACCTAAGGTGGGTAGGACAGCCTGGGCAAAGGTACGGAAGATGGAGATGGAATGTGATACAGAATGTGGTTAGTAGGGCAGTTTGACTATAATAGTACAAGAAAGAGAGTAACATGAAATAAGATTATTAAGTTAGATTGGAGCCAGCTTAGAAGGCTTTCAATGCCATTCTGAGGTTTTTTAATTTAATACTAGAGGGCACAAAGAATCCCTGAGGATCTGTGAGCAGGGAAAGATTAGAAGCATGGAACAATAACAAAACAACAATAATAGCCAGCATTTATACAAGGTTTTAAGGTTTGCAAAGTGCTTTGTTATCTCATTTGATCCTCATAACAACTCTTGGAGGTGAGGAAGAAAACTGAGGCAGAGAGAGGTTCAATGATTTGTTCAAGGTTACACAACCATGAAATGTCTGAGGCTGGATATGAACTCAGTTCTCCCTGACTCCAGGTTCAGCACTCTATTCGCTGCCCCTAACCAACTGAAAACCCATTAGAAGGCTGTTGCAAAATCCAAGCAAGAAGTGATGAGAGTCTGAAGTAGTACAGTGGCTTTGTCAATGAAATAAAGGGATAGATGTGAGACATGTGGATGGAGAATGGGTCAAACGTGATAAATGAATACAAAGTGGGGATGACATGAATCAGGGAGAGATAACTAATATGATATATGACAGAACTGGGATCCCCAAAGATCTAAAAAGGCTAAAATAATAAGCTGAAGCTAAAGACAAAATTTAACAAATACAATAATAATACATAAAATTTATAGCGTTATACTTGGTTTGAAAAAAAAAAAAACCAACACAAACCCAAATGTACATGTATAGGATAGCACAACTCTAATCATCTCACTCCCTTGCTTCAGAATCTTTAGTGGTTTCCTCTTGCCTCTAGGATAAAATTAAATTAGATTTTTAAAAACGTTTGGCATTTAAAGCTGTTGACAGACTTGCTGCAGCCTCCCTTTCCAGACCCCTTTCACATCATTCTGCTCTATACACTACACTTTCCAGTTGAATTGACCTGCACGCTTTCCCCTGAACTCAGCATTTGCTCTTCCTCCTAGGAATATTTCTCCCCTCCCTTTCATCTCTTAGAATTCTTGGCTTTCTTCATGGCTACAGACTAGGTACCCCCAGACTCTCTCAAGCTCAAGTCTCACATCACCAACTGCCTTTTAAGCATTTTAAAGTGATATTTCTGAAGCACAAGCCTCACCGTATCACTCCTCCGCTCAATAAATTTAATGTCCTTCTATTAACCTCTAGACTCAAATACAAACTCATGTCTGGAATCTAGTTGCTGTTGTTGTTGTTCAGTTGTGTCTGACTTTTTGTGACCCCATTTGTTTTTTTTGGTTGTTGCTGTTCTGTTTTTTGGCAAAGATATTAGAATGGCTTGCCATTTCCTTCTCCAGCTCATTTTACAGATGAGGAAACTGAGGCAAACAAGATTAACTGACTTGCCCAGGGTCACCCAGCTAATAAGTATCTGAGACCACATTTGAACTCAGGAAGATGGGTCTCCCTCACTCTAGGCCTGGGTTTCTATCCACTGTGCCACCTAGCTGCCCTGGCATCTAGAGCCCTTCACAATGGTTCTAACCTACTTTTTCAAGCTTATTATATATGACTTCCCTTCCAGCCAAACTATCCCTCCTTGTTGTTCTTCCCGGGGACATTGTAACACCTGTTACCGTGCCTTTGCACAGGATAGCTCCTCATCCTGGTCTACATTCTCTCTTTACCTCTGCTTCTTAAAATCTTTAGTTTCCTTCAAAGCTCAGTTCAAACACTATCTCCTACAGAAGACCTCTCCTGGTTCCCCCAGCTGCTAGTATCTCTTTGTCAAGATTATTTTTCACTTATTTTGTATATCTTTTGTACATAATTATACAAAACACATTTTTTTTTCCTCTGATAGAATGTAAACTCTGCGATGGCAGGAAATGTTTAATTTTTGTCTTTGTATCTCCAGCATACAGTATACACTTAATAAATGCTTACTACTGATTGCTGGATTAGATTAGAGAGACTAGAGGGTCAGAAGTCATTTCATGTGAAAAAGGTCTAGTTCTAATAATTGTGAATTAAATATGTCCACAGTGATATAGTAGACAAAAACGACAACATGAACTTAGGTCACATCAGCAGAAGCATTTGTCCAGAACAAAGGAGTTGATAATCTCACCGTATTCTGGCCTAGTCAGACCACATCTGGAGTATTGTATCCAGTTCTGTACATCATATTTCAAAAAGGACACTGACAAGTTTGAGATTAAGAAGAATCGGTTTGAGGAACTATTGATATTTTTAGGGCAGACACAATACTATTTTCAGCTACTGAAGGGATGTCATATAGAAGGATAATTGAACTTATTTTACTAGGCTCCAGAAAGCAGGGCAAGGATCAGTGGGTGGCAGTTAGAGGGAAACAGAAATAAAACTTATTACCAATTAGAATTATCCAAAAATGGAATAAGCTACTATGAGGATTGTAGGGGTTTCTCTCACTAGAGGTCTAGAAGATCATTAGTCTGGGATGGTCTAGACTAGATTCATACTTTGGGTAAAGGCTGTAACTAGTTTACCTTTAAAACCCCTTCTAATTTTTCAGTTTTCTTATTCTTTTATCAACTAAATGTTCTAGAAGGGACAGAGAAAGCTGGAGAATAACAAGTTCAGAAAATAAGATTTGAGAACTTGGTAAGGACTAGAATATATTAGATGACACTGAAAAGACTTCCCAGAAGCTTAAATAGCATGGGAGAGAAATGTAAAGGTAGTTAAAAGCATGGTACCAGTTGGAGAATAGCTGAACAAATAATGGTCTATGAATATAATGGAATACTGCTGTACTGTAAGAAATGATGAAGGAGACAGTTTCCAAGAAACCTAGGAGAACTTTTATAAACTAGTGCATAGTGAGGTGAACAGAAACAGGAGAGTAATTTAGACATTAAAAACAACATTGTTAAGAGACAAAAAACTCCGAAAGTCAAGAACTCTGATCAACATGATTCCAGAAATGTTACCCATCTCTTGAAAGAGATATGGTGGACTTATGGTGCAGATCAAGATATATGTTTCATGGATATGGTCAATGTGAGCATTTATTTTGCTCAACTATATATATTTGTTTAAAAAAAAAAGGAGGGAGGAGTTCTGTTTTTGTTTATTGGAGGGACAATAGAAAATAGAAAAATTTTGCTAATTGGAAATAAATTAAAATAAAGGTGGTGCTATGTGGACTGGATATTTTGTTATATTAGTGCAATCTGAGACATCAAAGTCTCTGGTAACTTGGACCACAAATGTAAGATCACTATAAATTATTTTTAGATTCAAAACAGTACATCAAACTTTTCCAAATTTTGTTAGCTGAGGCTATAGGAAACTTTCAAATTCTATGTAACATGCCCAATTGAGGAATTTAAAATTATCATTTTTAAAGAAAACTACAATTTTATGCAAATAAAATACTTACACCAAATGATTCACCAATTGAAACCAAGATTCTGTTAAGATAAAATGAAACAGATTAATTAGCTTGAGAACATATACAAAATGACAGTTTAATATGAACATTTTATTCTAAAGGTTATATTTATTAAAATGAAGATTTCTTTATCTCCTACTGAAAAGCTATTCTCATGATGAATAAAAGCAATAGAGGTGCCTAATGTTCTCCTATATTATGATGATGCCTTAGATTTTTAATGCTACTTACTCTGAGCTACTATTATTATTATTGTAATTATCAATAAATAATAATAATAGCTAATAGACAGTGCTTTAAAGTTATATATATAAATTTTCATTTGATCCTCACAGCCTATTTATCTAATTTTAGAGATAAGGAAACAGACTCAGGAACTAAAAGACTTGCCCATGGTCACATGGCTAGTAAGATTCTGAGGCAAAATTTTTACTCAGGTATTTTCCTGAGTCCAAGGCCAACACTCTATCCACTACACTAACTAGATGACTCATTATGAAATCCTAAGCTATCTCTACAAATAAATATCTCATGATAGAAGAAAAGAATACTAAATTTTATATGATCAAAGAGTCAAATGAACAAAGAGAATTTTTTCTAATAAATCACCTACATCTCTATCATATAAAAAAATCAAGTCAAACCTAACTGTAGCTTTTTGCCTTAGGAGACATGCTTTGACCTTTCTAGCAGGTATTGTAACTGTAATAAAAACTGACACATGGTAAAAGGTATCTGGTTCTTTATCATATCTTTCTCAAACACTACTTTCCAGTTTCACTAGTAAAATGGTTTAAGATAAGAATGACAAACTTAAGGCACTACGTTCTCATGATGTAAACTGTTAAAGAAGGGCTGCATTATGTTCCATATAGGTTTAGAATTTAATGTATTTTATTGTATTTTAATTTTTTGAAAATTGGTAACCCAATAGAATATTGCATATGGTGTTGGGTAGGGTCAATGTGTTTGATTTTAATGAAAAAAATTTTTTCTTTAAATCTTTCTTACCAGGGAAAGCTCACTGAAGGAGTGTTGGGGGAGAGGGAGGGAATAACTCCCCCGCTCTGCACCAAAAAAATCCTTTAAATAAACACCTGATTTTACCAAGGAAAACAAAATTAACCATTAACAGTGTAGTATGACTCACTAACATCATTTAATTAGGACTAATTTGCATACGGTTCTAATAAGCTAATTAATGAAACACAGTTCCTGCCCTTTAGGAAGGCAGTTTGATGGAGTAAAAAGGGTACTGTACCAGATATCAGGAGGATCTGGGTTTTAAGTTCTAGGTTTTATGTTAATTAGTTTGGTGATGTTAGACAAGACATTTTTCTGGCTTCAGTGGCTAGACCCAGTAATCTTGAAGGTACTTTCTAGCTCTAATATCCTATGATTTTATGAACTCACAACATAAGGGAATCAATGCTACTTATATGGCAGCTAGCCAAATAAAAACTAAATAAATACAGGATACGTTGTATATAAAAATATTAGTATGGACAGAAGAAAAGAGTAATGCTATCACATTAATATTGCCCTAAGTGTTCAACATAAACTATAAATCCCTTTTTTGATGAATATTTATCATCGTTTTCTCTCGCTGCCTTCTGGAAATACACTTGTATATTAAATATGACCTTTCACAGATGAAATAATTAAAGGTTGAATGACTTGTTTATAGTTAAACAAATGCATAGGATATTTAGAAAACTTGGGTGTAAAAGGGACCAAGTCATTTAATCCAACCCTCTCAGTCTAGAGATGGGGAAACTGAAGAACAGGGGAGTAAATTACCCGCTCAAAGTCACAAAGCCAATAGAAAGTAGAACTATGATTCAAACTTATGTCTTCTGACTCCTCATTTGGGGAGCCTTCTCCTACACCTTCTGGTAAATACTTAAAGATTTGCCTGTATTTCTACCTAATCAAAGATAATGTATTTGCACTGCAATTACTTTTTCTATGTGTAATATGGTTACTGGCTAATGAGGGCTTAGTCCTTAAAGCATACACAATACTTTGTGCTTGGTACCAGAAAATAAAAAAACAAAATAAGGTATTAACAGATTTCTTCCTCCTTGGTTGTTTTCTTATCCATTAAGTACAATCTGATTGGCCAGTCATTTTTAGCCTTGTAGTATATTATAACTCTCCTGGGTTAATCTTCTTTGTACTTTGTACACAAGCAAAACAAGTTTCAAATAGCCCATGATACCATGTAATAAGGCAAATGGAGCACATCAAAGCTAGGAAGCATTTGTGGTTGATGTAGATGATAGTATAATAATTCAATGTTGCACCGCACCTTTCATCTGAGCATATAAAAGAGCTTCAAAAACACGAGCTCACTGATGCACAACAACCTTTTGAAGTAGAGACCTGCCCAAGGCAATACAAGGAGACCATGGGAAAACCAGAAATAACAGTTTCAAGTCTCAATTTGAAATCATCTGTTCTAACAAGTTTGTACTCTCATCCTTAATGGGATATTGCTTTTCTACTATGGAAGAGTGGTCAAGGCCCACAAAAAGTGTTCATAAGACATTTGATGAAATGCAGAATGGTTAATAAATGAAAGAAAAAATCTACTTCATTCAACAGATGAGTTCCAGTAAAAATAAGTGTTTCAAAGGCTTACAACCAAACTGAGAGCCTCAGTTCTCTGTCTAAAAGAAAGCAGGAATGAATAGGAATAGTGATATTTTCAGGTTTTTCCTTTAACATATTGATCTTTTTTATTCATAAGCCCAAAGATATCACTTAAGTGGATGGTAAAGTTTAGATGAGAGGTTCTGGCTTTTTAACAAGGACTTTTTAATCTTGGATCAAAAGTATTTCAATTTATTGTTCTTTGCCACTAGTTCAAAGAGAAAAGTAGCACTAACCTTGATCTTGGAGTCATTTTTGTGGGAGTTGGCAGGCCTTCTGAAAATTTGTATGGACTCTTCAAGGGTGATATATAAATATTCCCTCCAGGAACACGTAAAGGAGAACTAGAAAACTTGTAAGGACTCCGAGGAATGTGAGGTATCGGTGATAAGGTTGGGGGCTATGACAGCAAAAGTAAAGAAATGTTTTTTAACATTTTTTAATTGGAAATTCTAATACAAACACATAATATATTCTCAACATACCCTGGTGGAAGCATATTGTAGAATATTTGTTTTTAGTTTCTGCATGAAGACCAAATTGTAGAAGACTATAATGGAATCATACTGCCCTTCTCTGATCAAAACACGTTTGAAAGTCTGTGGAGAAAAAATTACGCTAAATGAACATATACATTCACCTCAATATTTTCTTTTTTCTTAACTCATACTTTTATTTAAATAGTTATGTTGTAATGTACTCTCCAACAAATTAAAGAATTCAATCCAACAAATATTTAAGAAGGCCTTACTATGTTCAAAGAATTCCTTGTGGAGATGCAAAGATAAAAATGACCCAATCCCTACTATTAAGAGTTTTAGTCTTGATTTAATCAAGAGTTTTAATCTGGGTTTCAGAGTGGAGATGGAAATAAAACATACACAAATAAATATGATACAAGGCAAAATGTGGTAAAGGCAAAGGAAAGGTCCAGACAAAAATCCATAAAATTGTGAGGTGAGATTATGATCTGATGTGTGCATTGGGAGAGTGTTTCATGAAGAAATCAGTCCTTGTGAGATAGCTGGGACTTGAGAGAAGAGAAGGCTTTCAATAGGCACAGAGAGAGAGAGAGAGAGAGAGAGAGGAAGGGAGCATTTCCATGCATGAGGAATAAAGGCTAAGATAAAGAAATAGCAAGCAATCTAGCTTGTCTAAAATACAGAGCACATAAAGGGCAATAATATGAAATAAGAATGGAAAGGTGGACTGATGACATAATATGGGAAGCTTTAAAGGAACCTGCATTTTATGCTATAGGTAAAGGTTTTTTGAGCAGGGGAGTGACATGGTTAGATCTGTACCTAAGAAGACCATGTTAGCAGATGTGTTAAGGACAGATCAAAGAGAGGAGAGGTTACAGACAAGGAGGCCAGTAAAGAGACTTTGTAAAATAGTTTGGTCAGAAGTACTACAGCCATAAAAGGTATTATGGAAACAACCTCAAAAGATCACAGGATGGCAGATAGGGGGTCTGAGGAGACTTCAGAGGCCATGCAGTCCAACCCACCTATTTTACAGATGAGGAAACTGAAACCCAGGTAGGGTAAGTGATCAGCTCACACAGGTAGTAAAAATGGAAGCAGGATTTGACCTATCCATTGCCCTTACTTAGCAGGTGAAGATTAGAGAGGAGACAAGATGACTCCATAGTTTCAAACATAGGCAACAGAAATACAGGACTTAGAGACAGAGAGAGTTGAAATGATTTCAGTTTTGGACATGCTGAATCTGAGATGCCAACAGAACATCCAGCTGGATATGTCTAGAAGTCAGGTCAAGATATGGGACCAGGACTTGGAAAAAATGGTTAGATATATAAATTTGAGCACTGTTTACCCAGAAGTTAAAAAAGAGTCATGGGAGAGGATTAAGTAGATGAGACAGCGTGCCTTTGTGGACAGAATGCTGGACCAGCAGCTCTGAGACAGATAAGAGTGGTGGCATATGCCAGGTGAGTCAAACCACCACCACCACTTTGATAATTACTTCCCCTCAGATCCTAATGGAGGTGGCTCAAGTCTATGAGCTCAAAAGCTCTGGAAATTGCAGTGTTCCCAAGAATAGCAGCCTGCTTCTACCCTGGGCCCTACAGTCATCATCAAAGAGAGTCACCATATGGAGAACAGACTTAACATTATTACCAATATTTCCGCCATTTACTAACTGCCACTGACGGGCAAGTAAGCCCAAGAAGCCTGGGAATAGCAACACATCTCCAGACTCCTAGCTCTGCTTTCAGCCCAGCCTCCCAGACATCATCCAGAAAGCAACCCTTATGAAGAATGGGCCAGACATCCCCATCAACTGCCAAAAGTTGCCAAAGAAGCAAGGCAATCAGGATCCTGGACCAAGAGCCCTGGTTATAACAGAGCCCTATCCCCTCCACACACCACCCCCACCCAACTGGCCCTGTTTATAGTCCAGCCCCTGCAGCCATCTTCCAGGGAATCAACTCTGATGGAGATGTGACCTGGCAACTGTTTTTGCAGCTGCTGTAGCCCTTGCCAACTCATCAGTCATAGTAATGAAAGACCCAGAAAAAAATTTCTTGTTACCAAAGTCCTTCACCCTGTGAAATGGTTTAATATCAGAAAAGAATATCTCCTTATCAAGGGAAATAACATTACAGAAAAAACTTTATCATCTTTACTGCTGTACCTTAAGTACCCTGGTGCCTTTCCATCTGACCTCAAGCTAAAATCTCCTATCTGTGCCACCTCTCTTTATCAGAACCAGAGCTTCTTGAGAGCAAGGTTGAATTTGAGCTGAGTCTTGAAGGAAGTCAGGGAAAGTATATGTATATGTGTATAGGCTGTAAATGTGTATGTATGTATGTATACTCTCTCTCTCTTTTTTTTTTTTAAATATGAGGCAATTGAGGTTAAGTGAAGTGACGTGCCCAGAGTCACACAGCTAGTTAAATGTTATGTGTCTGAGAATGGACTTTGAACTTAGGTTCTCCTGAATGCAAGGCTGCAGCTCTATCCACTGTGCCACCTAGCTGCCCCTACATCTGTATATTTCAAAAGTTTTCCATTCCATGGGGTTTGGAGATTATGGACATTTAGGAAGTTAAAACTTATTAAAAAGTCATTTTAAAATTTATTTTGATTAATGTTACATCTGAGCAATTGTGGGCAACTATTTTGTCTTTGACAATGCTCTAGTTCCAGTGCAGTTTATTTGTTGAATTCTCAAGAATATTTTGGGGTCTGTATTTGTAGTATGGGGACCCATCATTTGTTAGCTGATTAAATATTTGGAGTTTCTAATGTAAAATTATAGTCAGTAAGTAAGGTCTTTTTAAGTATTCAGTAGGTGCTAAAATGTTAGTTACAACCTGTAGTGGTGTCACATGGTTTCTCCCATTTCCTTGTATATTTCTGTTGTTAATTGTTAGAAGCAGGATAGGCTGGGGTTCATAAAGTACTTGCATTGAAGTCAGGAAGAACTTAGTTTAAGCCTTTATTCTGTCATATACTAGCTGTGGGGCCCTGATCAAATTATCTAACTTTTCATGGTCTCAGTTTCCTCACTGTAAATTTCCTGTATTAACCACTTCACAAGGTTCTTGTGACAACAGTGCCTTTTTATGTCCATTGCTTTTAAAGCATTCTCTCTTCTCAAATGATCATATATTTACTTTGTATATACATGGTATAGTGTAATGTAAGCTCCTTGATGGCATGAACTATTTCAATTTCTTATTGTATCACCAGAACTTAGTATCTTGCACCAAGCAATCAATAATAACAGTAATAAAAATGCTTGTTTAATTGAATTGAATGAAATAAAATTAACTCAGCTTCAGGGAGAAGATTAGGACTGGATATATAAATTTGTGAGTCACCTGAATAGAAGGGATAACTGATAAAATTGCCAACGAAGAAAGTATATACTGAGAAAAGAACTAAGGATGGAGTGCTATGGAATGGGAAAAGGAAAATAAATAAGTAAAGGAGACCAAGAAGGGACAGTCAAGATAGGTAGAAGGAACTGAAGTAATATTTATTGTTCATGGGTAGGTTAAAGCCAATATAATTTTTAAAGCAACAATTTTACCTAACTCATCTGTTTATTCAATGTCATCCCAATTAAATTATTAAAAAATTATTTTACTGAGTTAGAAAAAAAAAAAACCCAAAGTTCATTTGGAAGAACATAAGGTCAGGAACTTCAAAGAAACCAGGGGAAAAAAGACAAAAAGGATGTAGATTCAGCAATATCACACTTTAAACTATAAGGTGAGAGATTATTTTAAATTAAAGTTTTCTTGTATAAATAAAACCTACGTGGCTAAGAATAGAAGGAATGCAGAAAATTGGGGGAAAAAACTTTCATAGACAATCTCTCAGATAGGATGTGACTGGGCTGGAATATTGCTGGAGTGTAGGAAATTATAAGTTGGTTGATTTAGAAAAACATGAAAAGACTTGAACTTATGAAGGAAGATGCTATCCACTTTTAGAGAAACAGATGACAGGAGGAAATAAGCATAGTACGGTCTTACATATACATGTATGAGTGTATGTTAGTAGATATCTATGTACATGTATATATATATCCATGCTGAATTGTAGCCTTTTTTAGGGTGGTGATAGGAGGGAGGGGAAAAAAATAAAAAATGCACAGCAGAGAACAAAAGAAAACCAAGGAAGCAAAGAGAAGCTGGGCAGCTTTGAAAACAATGTGTAGTATTTATTATATAGGTTTTCTTGAAATGGAAATTTATTGTTTCATATTGAATCCTCTCTTATGATCTGCTGTGTACAGGGCAATGTTTTTTTTTTCTTTTCTCATTTTGTATTTAAGTTTAAAATAAAAAAAAAAAAGATAGGTAGAAAGATAACCCTTGACATGAAAGGTGAAAGATTAACAAGAAAGATCAAGAGATCAATCAATAAATGGAGAAAGGTAAAGGAAGATATGGTCTAAGAAAAGGCTAACACATCCTAATTCTCAAATTCTCCTGGGGATAAACTATGGTTGTAGTGGTAAAAGTGAAGTGCTATGGCACACAGATTGGGCAGCAAGCCAGAAAAAGAGTCAGTCAGTCAGCCAGGGTGGTAGCAGATGTGCAGCCTGGAGGAAGAAAAGTTCACAGACCAAAAGGTAGAACCTAAGTATGGATATGGAGAGGTCAGAGTTATGCAAAAGTCATCATATCTAGTCCATACTTAAACTTCACTCTCTCAACTCCAATTGTAAATAAAAGTATTGACCAAGTAGAGAAAGACAAGTACTTGACAAGGTAAATATTTTACTCTAAAGTATTAAAAAGGGTTTCCATTTTAGATAGTTTTTTTATTTTCAAAATTAAAAACTTAAAAAAAAACTTCAGTGAATTCTATAAACCAATTCGATGAATTTGTTTCCATAGGATATTTTTGATATGCATGATTATATCAGTCTGAATTAAGAAAAATCAAAACAAAAAAGTTTGTGTATTTAATTTAAAAAACAAATACTACCAATATCAAAACCATTTTCATCTTTTAAGTACTCTAGTCTAATGTACCTAGGAAAATTATATAATTATATTGATATAAAGTTTATTTGATTATAGGGTGCTTTTAAAAAGGAGTGGGATTTTTATAACAAGATATGCTTCAAAAATAAGTTTTTGGTATTTACTGACAATATTTCATTTATAAAGATTTTTAAAAAATTTCATCCAGGAAGAAAAATAACTGAACCATACCTCTTACTTTTTAAAGCGAATTTTATTCTGTTAAGTAAAATTTAGGGGGCAGCTAGGTGGCGCAGTGGATAAAGCACTGGCCCGAAGTCAGGAGGACCTGAGTTCAAATCTGCCCTCGACCAAACGCTTGACACTTACTAGCTGTGTGACCCTGGGCAAGTCACTTAACCCCAATTGCCTAAAAATTAAAAAAAAATTTAAAAAAATTAAAAAAAAAATTTAGGGGCAGCTAGGTGGCGCAGTGGATAGAGCACTGGCCCTGAAGTCAAGAAGGCCCGAGTTCAAATCTGGCCTCAGACCAAACACTTGACGCGTACTAGCTGTGTGACCTTGGGCAAGTCACTTAACCCCGACTGCCTCACCCCCCCCCAAAAATAAATAAAATAAAATAAAATAAAATTTAATACCTCTCTCCTTAAGGTATTATAATAATCTCTTGTAACTTTTAAATCTGAATTTAGATTTTTAAATGTCACAGTTTTTTTCCAGATCCAGCTTTAGTTAAGTTTAATTACCTAATAATATAAAATTAAGTGGCATTTTGTAGATTTGTAAAAATGCCCTAAACAGACATTTTAGACGACCAAATTATAAGAAAGTTGGGAATGTCTGGTTAAAAATCAATTTACAGTCAAATCTGTATGTTTTGGTTTCATGTAACAAAATTATCTAATAAATGATTAAAATTATTTGGATTCAAGATTCACACTGAAATAATTTACATACCTCCTGGATGGCATGGGTAAGGTCCTTATATGCGGTAACAATGATTTTGAATTTAAGATCTATATTCTTCACTTTGCATATGCCATACATGGAACACATCATAATCTATTAATTACAGAAAAGTAAAAACAATCAGAATTGTACTTCCGTGTCTAAAAAGTACCCAACATCCTTCCTACCTGGCTCAAAAAGCTGGAGCAATCTACATCCTTGCAGTATAATCAAGTTTAGTAAACAGAATATAAATACAAAGAGTTCAAAACATCACTATCGTTGGCTTCATCTCAAAGTCTATATTCAGAAAACTTTTATTCCAGACTCTTTCACAATAAAAACATAGGTACAGTCAACTCAATTATTTAAGGACTAATTATCAGATCTGTAAAATTCACGTAGCCTTTGGTTCCCCTTAGCATATTTACCAAAGAAGTGGTTACATTTATTTTAGTCAATTTTTCTACTAGTTGAAAGCTCTGGTTAAAAAAAAAGTCAGGTGGGGAAGTGGTTGAAACTACTGGGTAAAATAAAGCTCAAGAGTTGTTATTTAAATTACCCATGGTTTCTTAATTATGGGCTTCAGGGTTCTATAATTATGAATCTTTCTCCCACCTAAGTGCCCATATTTCCTGCAATAATCTTGCTTATGCCTTTCACTCTAGCCAAGATAATTAATCTAAAAGGAATTCTAAACTGTTTTAAGCAATGACAGCATGACTGAAATAAATATACAACCTCCCAAGCATGCTAACATTAATTGGACATTTTAGATGTTCAAAATGTAAAACATTTTGGAATGTTTGGTTAAAAACTAATTTGTAGCCACACCTGTATGTTTTGGTTTCATTTCATTGTATTTTAATATATTTTCATTTTCTGTATCCCTTTTTATCCTTAATAGCAAAAGCCTACTTATTTTACTCTGTGGACAGTGATTTTTATAAAGTCTTTAAATTTACTTTGCTCTTCACCTACAAATATTCTAAAGAATCAACAATTTTCGTTTACCACAGCAACTAATTTTATTTTATGACAAAGTACATCCTGAAGAGTTAATTATATTTTCAAAGATTGAATAAAGTGACTGAGTTTCTTCAGTTTAAATGTATAATTCATGTACATTCCATACTGAGGATGGAATAATGGTTTTACATTGAGTGGTAACTACCCACACAAATAAAAATAAAGTAAAACTCCATCATAAATCTATATGCTACACCACAAACAGTGTGCCTCATATTAAGGCCCCTGCGTATAGAGTTTAGTGTATACTCTACTATAACATAAGCACCCCCAACAGCTGCATTACAAAGAGGTTCTCCTATCATTGACATTTTAAAATAAGAAATAACTGTTTCAATAATTATAGGTTAATTTTTGAACTATACAGTTGATCTTTATTAGTTAAGGCAAAATAAAAGTAATAAGTATACAACTGAACACAGTTTGGTTTACTACATTAACCTTATCTTTCCTTTGAAACTAAAGTCTATGTTTAGTATTTGAAAAATAAATCTTTACTAGAAGAAAGGAAAGTTAGTGATTTCTTTACCTGGTCCAAATGCCTGTCCCTCATGAGTTCATACTCGTTTTGCAGTGTGTGTTGGAAAAGGGTCCAAATGATGTGCTCCAGCTCTGGGTGATCTGACAGAAGTCGTGAACACAGAGTATTCAGCCGGAGATATGCCAACCGGTACACTGGTGGTTGGAGGAATGGGAAGGGAATTAGTCATTTTAAACTATTTATTAATTTTGACTTATTAGATTTTCTTCCTTATAATAAATTTTAAAAACCATAATGCTGTCTAACAGGTTTTAATAACAGCTCCTTCTCTACTGTTACCTTTCTTGTAAACGTATTTTCCCATCCTTAGTACAACAGCTTAGCACATACACATAGACATGCTTAGCATAGACATGCTAAGCAACAGCTTAGCACATAGACATTAATTGGTTTAAATTTCAAAAACAAATATATGCCATTTATCATGGGGAGGGGTTGGGATAGGGGAAGTCATGAGTGAGAGTATAAGGAGGGCTAAAGGATATTGCGAAATTAAAGAAATAAAAAATTAGATGTGACAACTCCAAAAAGGCTAGTAATTGATATCACAGGAAAGTTAATTCCTAATAAAGATGAACAGATTGAGTTTGCTTGCAAAAAAAAGAATATTAGTGGTCAAAAATAAAAGGACTGCTTTACATTTACTAACATCTATACTAAGTCAGTAAACATTTATTACGTGCCTACTCTGGGACAGGCACCGTACTAAGTGCAAGGGATAAAAAGAAAGGAAAAAGACATTAACTCTTCTCAGTCTAATGGAAGACACTACACGTTAATAACTATATGCAAACAAGATACAGACAGAATAAATTGGAGATAATCAACAGAAGGAAGGAACTAGAATTAAAGGAGATCAAGAAACGCTTTCTGTAGAAGGGATCTTAGCTAGCACATGAAGAAAGCTAGAAAGTAAAGATGAGGAGGCAGGGCATTCCAGACAAGGGGAACAGTCAGTGAAAATGCCTGAAATTGAGAGAAGTAGCATCTTACATGAGGAGCAATAAGGAGGCCAGTGTCAAAACATGTCTTAAAAAAAAAATCAAATAGCAGAGGGGATAGAAGGGGGGAAGGCTACTTCAATCCATGCTAGGAGTTATCTGAGGCACCAGGTTAAGTGACTTGACAGAGTCACAGAGCTACTAAGTGTCACGGGCAGGACTTTACCCTAGGCCTTCCTAGCCCTAAGTCCAGCTCTATACTAAGCTGTCTCTTTCATTAACATGACTATGAGAATAAATTTATTTAGTATATCTCTAACAGAGAAATATAAGTAGAGAAGGGACCTCTAATCAGGGGCAAGAGTAAAGAAGTACATTTTAAAAAAATAATCATCTTCCTTATTATTGTTGAGGTCCTCCCTAAGGGGCCTTAAGTTTTGATGACTAATCTTCAAAGATAAATATAGTAAAATACCTAGAATCTAAATTACTCTTTTGGAAGAAGACACATAATATATATGAAATTTTCTAATACTAAGACAAACACACAATACTTTGGGTCTTATTTAAAGATTAAATTTCTATTGCACTTTTCTGAGGGGCTGTTTTTTGCCTTTTTTTTTTTGTATCCCCAGTACTCAGCACAGTGCCTGGCACATAGTACGTGCTTAATATACATTTATCGATTGATTAGTTTATCTCATTTTTTTTTAACTTTAATTTTTTTAAAGCAGAAAACCTATTTGGGGTTCCCACTTTTCCCCCAAAGAGCTTAAAGCATGCATATAAGTAACCTATCATAAGTCACTATATTGTCAAACATCAGGTGGATATACAATATATTTGAAATTATGATGATAATGGGACAGCTATGAACCTTTTTTGTAAAAGAGTGAAAGGGAGGTAGATTTCGGTGGCTTCTGAGTTTGAGAGGTTGATGTTGTCTGTGGTTCTGCATTTGAAGTGGAATTTATTCGAGCTGTTGATCCTTTTTTCTTGGGGGATCTTACAGGAGAAAGATACCTAGATGCACGTAAAAGAGAAACTGTTAAGAACATTTGAACAGTGGTACACATATGAACATAGCCTCCATTCACTCTATCATTTGATAGCAGCTCAACCGAATAGCCCATTTAAATATAAGCTCAAAAAGACAATAAAATGAATAATAATCCAATCATGTTCCAATGCTACATTTTTTATCATGGTATATGGTAAATTTTGGATATCAACTTCTTATGGAAAAAGGGCTACACACATATTATATTCAACTTCTATTAATTATCAGTGAGTGAGGACTCAGGAAGTAGTGTGAGCTTAAAAGAAAAATCAATTACTGGTACCAAAATAAAGTGCTGTCCAATTTCTTGGATAATAAAGTGTCTTCTTTTTTAAAAAAATTGTATAAAAACCACAAAACTTTAAATGATTATGCTATAGTTCATAAATAAGATAAAAGGAATGAATGTATATAAGCATACACAGCCAGCTTAATTGCATAGTAGAGGGAATTCTAAGGAGACAAAATTAGGGATGTAAGTAATTAATATTAAGTATAATTATAATATTAATATTCTAATTTATTTATTTTATTTATTATAATGTTAACATTCTCTAGGGAATATTTCATTAGACCTAGGCATACTTAGTAAATATGGCAGTTACATATCAGAATATCAATATTCTCTCTTCATAAACTTTGGTTAGTCCAGTGCTCTCTGTTGCATTCTCTTTAAATTGGGCAATGAAGAGCCATTCCTGATTCCTGAATCTGGGTATCAGCTGTGTAAAAAGAATTCTAAAGTAGAAGCACGTACTGCACTTTTATGTGAACTTCTGTACCATAATTAACAGCTCAGAAAAGGAAGTAAATTAGTAAAAAGGATAAAAAGGAATCATTACTACAGTGATTTTATAGAGGCCTTCTTTCCTTTCCCCTCAGCCTTGTCCTGTTTATAATTACTAAGTTGCTCCAACTAACCTACAGTCTCTTTTCTTCATGAACTGCCAAATACTTTAGGGGGTTAATTTGGGTAGTAGTTATGCTATGGTTGCATTCTATCATAAACCAATCTTGACATACATATACACAAATAAAACAATGAAAGCAGAATTTCTCATGGAACCAGATTCTCTTAGCTCTAATAATGCTTAAACTAACCTTTCCAAGACACTTTATTAACTCTCTATTATTTAGTCCATCCAAGCAGAAATTCATTAAACACTGTGGGACCAATGTTTCAAGCAATTTTCTTTGCTCTGTGTTACAGAAGATTTATGTGACTAATATATTCTGGTATTAATACCTGGATACAGTAATGGTACTAAATAGATTCTGAGGTTTCCCACAGATTACCTATCTCCACAAAATAGTTCTAAACTTACCAAGTTGATAGTTTCTTTTGCTCAGACGTGTGTAGTTCAACCGGTTAGGAGGAAATGCTAATAGGGCCCAAATTACAAGCTCCATAGAAGCTAATTACTTTCACTATGTTAACTGGTTTTTCTTTTCAATTTCAATTCCTACCTATACTACTCCATTGAATCTTTTTCTTGAAGACACAAGTCTAGAAGACACAAACAGTAAAGACAATGACTTGAGAAGATCTATGAGCAAGGTCTCAAAGAAAAATTCAGACTGGATACAAGCCCAAAAAGAATTTCCAGAAGAACTAAAGACAGACTTTTTTTTAAAAGAGCAAAAAGATTATTAAAAAAAACAAATAAGAATGGTAGAGGAAAAAATGGGAAAAGAAATGGGAGCTAAACAGCAAAGTTATGAAGAGAATTTAAAGCTTGGTAAAAGAGGTACAAAAACTTACTGAAGAAAATAATTCCTTAACAATTAGAATTGGCCAAATGGAAGCTAATGACTCCATGAGACAGCAAGAAAAAATAAAACCAAGTCAAAAGATTAAAAAAAAACTGAAGAAAATGTGAGATATAATAAAAACAACTGACCTGGAAAAAACCTGATCAGGGAGAGATGATTTAAGAATTAGTGCACTACTTGAAAGCCACAGGGGGAAAGGACTAGATATATTATAATTCAAGAAATTATAAAGGAAAACTGCCCCCAAATCTGGAGGGCAAAGTAGAAATGGAAAGAATCTACTGGTCATCTCCTTAAAGAAACCCCAAAATGAAAACTCCTAGGAATATTATAGCCAAAATCGAGAGCTCCAGTTCAAGGAGAAAATAGAACCTTCCAAACAGAAAGAATTCAAGAACTGTGGAGCCATGGTCAAGATCACATAATATTTAGTAGCTACCACTCTAAAGAAATGAGAGCTTGGAATATGATTTTCCAGAAGGCAAAGGACCTAGGATTACAACCAAGAATAACCTACCCAGTAAAACTGAGTATAATTATACAGGAGAAAAATGGATATTTAATGAAAAAGAGAACTTTCCAGCATCCCTGATGAAAAAACCAGAGCTGAATAAAAAATCTGACATTCAAACCAGAATACAAAAGTAACATGAAAATGTTAACATGAGTGAGAAATTATAAAGGACTAAAAAAAGGTTACACTGTTTATATTCTTATATGGGGAGATGATGCATATAACCCTGCAGAACTTTATAATGACCAGGGGTTTTAGAATGAGTTTAATTAGACAGAGGGCCAAGGTGTGATTCTATTAAGTTTAGATGGTCTCAAAAGAAGAATGGAAGGGTAAAGGAGATGAAAAAGGGGAAAATTGATCTCACATAAACAGAGCATGTAAGGAAGAGTTTATACAATAGAAGAGGCAGCAGGGGGAAGTGAACAATACTTGAACCTCACTCTCATCTGAACTAGTTCAAGGAGGAAAGAATAAACATACACAACCGAGTATAGAAATTAATCTTACACAAAAGTGAAACAAAAGGGAAAGGGGTTAAGGAAAAGGAGAGGGGGGAGTATAAAAGAAAGGGCAGATTAAGGAAGGCAATAGTCAGAAGGAAAACACAACTCTTAAAGAGGTGACGGGTAAAAAAGGGAAGGGCAAATATAAGAGAATAGAATGGAGAGAAATACATAGCTACCAATCATAACTGTTAATACGAATGGGATGAATGCACCCATGAAACAGAAGAGGATAGCAGAATAGATTAGAAACCAGAATCCAATAATATGTTTACAAAAAACACACTTGAAACAGAAAGATATGAGGGGTGGAGCCAAGATAGTGGAGTAAAAGCAGCAACTTGCTTGAGCCCTCCCCCAAAACCCTCCAAATACCAGTAAAAAATGACTAAACAAATACTAGAGCAGCAGAACCCACAAAAAGACAGAGTGAAACAAATTTCCGACCCAAGACAACCTGAATGGTTGATAGGAAAGGTCTGTTAAGCTGGGCTGAGAGAGGAGCACAGCTCAGTGTAGGCCATGCAGTCAAAGACTGGGCCAGAGGAAACCTGGAACAGGCCTCACGGGACAGAATCACGAGAAGCTGTGGTGGTTTCCAAACTTCTCAACCCACAAATGTCAAAGACAACTTAGAAGGTCAGTGGGAAAGGTCTGTCAGGCCTGGGTGAGAGGAGCATGGTCCAGTCCTGGCCTTAGCAGATCCCCAGGGTGGTAGACACAGTGGCAGCGGTTGCTTCCAGAGCTCTCAGCCCACAGACAGTGGGGGGATCGAGTGGCTGATCAGAGGGGGATTGCAGGGATCTCTTTGCTGGCTGTGAGGCAGGATTCTCTTGCTTTGCCCGTGCTTGTATCTGGGTTGCAGTCCTAGGTGGCAGTCCTGGGGTAAGGAATGGGCATGGTAGAGCTTGTGGCGGTGGTGGAGGGAATCTGCCCCACAGTTCCAAGGCAGAAAAGAGAGCCTATGGTCACTCACAGACTAGTGCACAAGCCAGGAAAGGAGCAAACAACTCTCCTTTGATCATACCATCTTGGAAGAACTGAAAATTTACAGGTCCATAGAAGTATCTCTGAAAACAGTTGCACAAAACCCCTGAAGTTTGGAACAGTACACCCACCACACTGGAAGCAGAGCCCTACCTTAACAAAGAGTTAAAAAGTTAAGTAATTGGCTGGGAACATAAGCAAACAGAGGTCCAAAACTCAAGACTATAGAATCTTACTTTGGTGAAAAAGAAGATCAAAACATACAACCAGAAGACAACAAAGCCAAAGCTCCTATATCCAAAGCCTCCAAGAAAAATATGACTTGGTCTCAGACTACGGAAGAGCTCAAAAAGGATTTTGAACATCAAGTAAGAGAAGTAGAGGAAAAACTGGGAAGAGAAATGAGAGATGCAAGAAAATCATGAAAAATGAGTCAATAGCTTACTAAAGGAGACCCCAAAAAATGCTGAAGAAAATTACATCTTAAAAAATAGACTAATCCAAATGGCAAAAGAGGTCCAAAAAGTCAATGAGGAGAAGGATGCCTTAAAAAGCAGAATTGGCCAAATGGAAAAGGAGGTCCAAAAGGTCACTGAAGAAAATAATTCCTTAAAAATTAGAATGGAGCAAATGGAAGCTAATAACACTATGAGAAATCAAGAAATTATAAAACAAAACCAAAAGAATGAAAAAAATAGAAGACAATGTGAAATATCTTATTGGAAAAACAACTGACTTGGAAAATAGATCCAGGAGAGATAATTAAAAAATTATTAAACTATCTGAAAGCCACGATAAAAAAAAAAAGAGCCTAGACATCATCTTTCAAGAAATTATCAAGGAAAACTGCCCTGATTTTCTACAACCAGAGGGTAAAATAGAAATGGAAAGAATCCACTGATCACTTCCTGAAAGAGATCCCAAAAGGAAAACTCTTAGGAATACTATAGCGAAATTCCAGAGTTCCCAGGTCAAGGAGAAAATATCGCAAGCAGTCAGAAAGAAACAATTCAAGTATTGTGGAAACACAATCAGGATAACACAAGATTTAGCATCTTCTACATTAAGGAAGTGGAGGGCTTGGAATATGATATTCTGGAGGTCAAAGGAGCTAGGATTAAAACCAAGAATCACCTATGCAGCAAAACTGAGGATAATCCTCTGGGGGAAACATGGATATTCA